CACCACCCCCGTCCTCTTTCTCTCCCGTAGTATGCAATGCATCTTTGTTGTGCTTCTTTAGGGGGAAAAAAGAAAACTTCCCTGATAATGTAGGCTTCTGATGTTTTAGTGGTTAAAAGAGAGGATGTGGGGATGGCTATACAAAGTGAAACAAATTAAGAGTCAATCTCAATATATCGCTCTGATGTTCCTTATTATGGGGCAATAATTACATTCTGTAAGGTTGTTTCGTTAATTTTGCCATAGAGAACCTCGTGATCTTTTATGACTCGATATATATTCCTACAGTGAAAATCTGGTTTCGAGAAAGGGCAGAATATAAATCTCAAATATCTTCTTTGTAGTTAAAAATACAGAGACAGTTGTGGGCATGATTGAGATACTAAATTACAGGTTGCATTACTTCATATTTTTTTCCAAAAACCATTAAAAAGAAAAAAAAAACCCAAAACAGACAAAACATTAAAAATGTGCATTAGAAAGGACAAACAACAAAATCATATATATTTTAGTTTTCTGAATAAAATAAAAAATAATTTTTTGATCTTATGTGTTTTGAATATTGTAGGAAGTTAGCACCCACCTCTCTCCTAGAAGAATGAAATATTCTAGGAAATCTAAAAATACAGAATATACCTCCCTGGATGAGAAATGGAGAAACTTGTTTTTAGACAGAAGCAGACTCACCCTTAATAGCCCCCACACTCTCAATAGCCCACAGCAGATGTCAGCACTTAAGAGATAAAGAGATAGCTAGGTCTATTCATAAGCAAATGCCCTCACCTAAAATTCAACAAAGATAGGATTAGCCTTCTACCCATCTAGCAACATGGCACCTGGGGAGATTACATCACCCAACAAAGGCTCAACCAAGCCTGAGACTCAAAAGACAACCTACAAAGTTACCCCTGCATGGACCCATGAAAGTCTGACAAGCTCAAAGTCAGAATACAAGCTCAAATTCAAAGCCCAACAGAGGGTATAAATCTCTCTCTCTCTCACCCATGTGCCTTTTTGCCCAGGACCTCAAAACCATGTGATCCTGTCCACCATTAAACCATCTTTTCAAGCAGTCTCCATGTTTCCAGTGTCTTTCTCCACACTTGGAGCTCAACCCAGACGGACATTTCTTCCAACAATACGTTTTATCTCTTTTAACTATGTGTCAGTGGAGTGGAATGTCCGTGCTTTATACCATGCAATCTATGCTTTAAGTTTGTTGGATAAACACATGCTATTGTAGCTTATTTGGGAAATGGTGGTTTAGCATTAATAGGTCAAAATGAAGAACATTATGGTTGTAATCCTAAGCATGCTTCTTTGAAGAGTCATTTGATACAAATGCTGGGATTACATGCCAACCCAAAGAATGCTGCCACCTTAACATATTCCTCCTCCATTTGTATGCTACAGTTTCTTTCACCTGCTATTTGAGTTTTCTGAGAACGGAACTTATACATTAAACTTGTTGTGGTTACAAGCTCTACGCAATTTCCCCCCTTTCTCTGTTCAATCTTGTCCAATTCTCTCAGAGACCGCCATGCAAGTTCCAGCAGTTTCCTTGGCAAGGTTATTTAGAAGTGCTTTGCCATTGCCTTCTTCCTAGGGCTGAGAAATTAAAGCTTTCTGAACATTTTATTTGTCTCTTAACCACTGAGTTCTTTTTGTTTCTCTGCCTCCCCCTATATATTTAGGGAACTTACAGGATTCATAGCCTTAATTGTTTCTGCTACCTTTCCCATCTCCTTATTACAGCCATAGTATCTCTCTTTTAGGAGTTCAAAGGTAATTTTTTGTGTTACAGTATAGGTAGTTTTGCAGATCATCCAAAATTGTGATTATTTCTTGAAGAGTAGACATTTTCTTTCCTTGAGGCTCAAATAAATTGAACACTGCCACCCCCCCTCCAATTAACTTATTCCTTGTTTAGTCAGTTGCTCGATGTGAGGTTTGAACATTCTTTTTGATAAAGTAGCTTGGCTGATATCCTGATATAATACCATTTTATTTCCTTCCCAATTTGTTTCTTTCAGCAAATGTGCCTTTTGAATAATGTTGTCTTTCATGGGAGCATGATAAATGTTTTTCTTGTGTCTCTGAGTGTATCTTTGTCACTTAGATGAGACGGGCTGTATAGAAATGTGAATGAATACACAAATATAACTTACCTTAGGTATTTTATTCTAGAGGTCTTCATTGATTATTTAATCCTCATTGCTGGAGGAGCGCTAAGGCTCACATATGAATACAAATACAAATGCACTATGAAGGATATTAAAAGAAGCATAGTCCTGAATATTTCGAATCTTATCTACATCTACTGAGATGTATTTTAATATTTGTATTGTGTGTTTTTAATTCTGGCTGTTCACCGCCCCGAGTCCTTCGGGAGAGGGGGCGGTATAAAAATTTAATAAATAAATAAATAAATAAATAAATAAATAAATAAATAAATATATTGTAGCTCTGTGGGAGACTTATTACTAGCCAGAAGGATTGTGTCTTATATTTTCTCTGTGCATATTAATATGCTATCCCAATAACATTTGGCTTCCTAATGTCACACAAACACCTTAGACCACAGCAAGCTAAATTAAACAAGAGTGGAAGGTAATGACTCCTAAACATTCAGCTCAACTTCTTGGACTACACGGACATGTTCATGGAGTTTTCCTGAAGAATATACTCAGATAATTATGGATTTCTTTGTCCTGAGAGAACAGTTAGTGTTGTTAAATATATATACATACCATCAGTATGTTGGTGATATTCAGCTATACAGTATATCTCTGACCTGGGCCAACCAGATGATGCTATGGAAATGCTTCCCCAGTGCCTGAAAGCTGTCTGAAGCTGAATAGGACGATGTGGCTTTTGTTCAATCTGACAAGACTGAGTGCTGTGGATTTTAAAGTACCTGTATCTGGTGATCTGAGATCTTTAATTATGGCCAGGGTGACACTTCCCTAGTCACAGCTGGTGTGGAATCTGGAATTCTCTGGATTTATTGGGGCCTGATCAAAGAACAGGTGCTCAAAGGCAGGTGGGCCTTTGTACATCATGTGCTCCAGTTGCACCCTTTCCTAGATAGGGGGTACTGCTCAGTCACTCACGCCTTAGTCATCTCCCAATTGAACCATTTCAATGAACTCTACATGGGACTTCCTTGAAGAAAAGTTAGAAGCTACATTTAGTCCAAAAGGTAGAAGCAGCATGGCAGTAGCGGGCACACTTTGTACATCCGTGTAAAACCCATCGTTGCATGGATAGCATTGGCTCCCAGTAGGCTTCTGGCTAAGGGGATGCAGGTTTGAACATCTTTCCAGAAATTGGGGGCAGCCAAGAAAAAGTCCCTTCCTAGTCTCCATAAGATGAGAAAATGTAAAAAGACGGGACCTGAAGCAAGCCCTCCCTATGGGGGCATGTGGGAGGTATAGCTGCACTTGGTAGAAAATCATCCCGTGAGGGATCCCAGCCCTGTGGAGACCTAAAGGGTGACAACTGGCACCTTGAATTGTGTTCTGACCTAGGCTTCCCCAAAAAGCACAAAGCAGAATCCTGGTCCTGACAAAACCCCTTTTATTAAACAAACAGTGAATTCCTCTCATTCACTTTCAGCAAAGTCTTTCAAGGGAGAATTTATCGTCACAGACCTTATCTGGCTTGGAGAGCTGCCAGGCCGATATCTTCAAAACTTGGCAAAGAGTCTCAGAGAGTCACAAAGTAAGTGAACTAATTGTCTCCTGCAAACTCCACTCCCCTTTCACTCCTTTTTTATTCCCTCTGAGAGGGGCCATTCATCGTCCACCTGTGGCCTTACTCCCAAGCCGACCCTTGTTCTTTAGCTGTTCCCTTTGTCTGGCATTTCTGCGGATGCGCACACTGGGAACAGGCTCCAGCTGTTCATCTGCCTCACTGATGTCTGACTCTGAAGGGAGCTGATAACTGGCATCCGGCCCTGGCCCCCTCTCTGCCTCCGATGCAAAGCCCTCATCAGACTCCAGGACTGGCCCATATTCCTCCCCAACCTCCTGACGATCCGAATCTGCTGCCAGCTCTGCTGGCTGCTGGCAGGCCACAACAAATTGCACCTGGAAGCCTACTGGAAACAAGTGCACAGTGGTGTTACATGGACAAACCAACATGCACTATACTTGCTCTGCTGCACTCTGGATGAACCAAAGCTTCCCAATAATCTTCAAGGGCAGAGTAGAGTTTGTTGCATTAGTTCAATCAAGAAGTGACTGAGTGAGCATGAGCAAGGCATCCTGGTCCAAGAATAAGTATGATTTGTATTTCATGCCTCCTAATCAAAACTTTAAAATTAAAATGCTTATATATTTTTGTTCTCTAAAATCTTAATACTAGCTGTGCTCAAAGGGGAAGATTATCCACTCAAAGGGATTGGCTGTATGAAATATTTATTTGGGACAGTCCCAAGTACTACTCCAGAATAGTTACTCAGGCAGAGACACAAAGAGGAGTCTTCTATGGGTGGGCTTTTAAAACATGTCTTAGAAATTCTTGAGGAAAATGTAAAAAGAAGGCAACATAATTCTAGTTTTAAGTGAAAATAAAAAAGAAAGCTTCATCTATTAACATTTGGAAAGCACTGCTGTACTCTAGCTAAAGGGAGATGGGTGAGAAGGAAGGAAGGAAGGAAGGAAGGAAGGAAGGAAGGAAGGAAGGAAGGAAGGAAGGAAGGAGAAAGAAAAGAAAAGAAAAGAAAAGAAAAGAAAAGAAAAGAAAAGAAAAGAAAAGAAAAAAGAAAAGAGTTTCAGTGGACTGCAAAATGTATCTTCCTCTGTGATCTTCTTGTTAAACTAGTCAGGCTGAGGAAGTGTCGGATTGTCATTCTTACTGGGTTCCATTCCCAGTATCACAAGTACCTCCATGCTTGTGACGCCCAAACTATTTCATCGGTTTCCTTCCAGTCCTGTCTAAAAAGGCTGAGAATTGCAGGCAGTCCCTCAAGCGAAGTGTTTCCAGGAGGAGGCGGAGTAAAGGCTTAAGGGAGCCAGCCGCCAGCCATGCTCTCGCTTCGAAGGGAGAGACAGCCAATTCAGCAGCCGCTCAAGGAAGCCAGGAAGGAGCGACTGAACGGGACAGGGAGGGTCTGCGCACCGATCGCGCGTCTCGAGGTAAAAAAGAAAAAAAAAAAGGGGGGGGGGGGGCAACTGGAACGGGAAGAAGAAACTGAGGCAGGAATCTAGCGGGGTTGCATGCCAAGGAGACGAAGAAGCGCAACCCAGAAGACGATTGCTCTGGTTTGGTTCTTAATGGCTCCTACTGAATTGAACGGGACACAAGTCAATAGCTTGCAGTTGGGAGAAAGTCCAAAACTTGTACCCCGCGCCTCCCCTTTTGTTTTTTCCTTCTTCCCCTCTAAATCAAGGATTCGTTAGCTACGAATCTAATTCGGAATATGTGCCCTCCCGGTTAACTTTATTGCTCGGTCGACCGGCAAAAGTCGTGTACGCGTGTCGCCTAAAACGGATCTCTAAACCCAGGTAACACAGTGCTTTTCAATCCGGGCAACTTTAAAGAGGTGTGAACTTCAATTCCCAGGATGTTGCCTGGGGATTTCTGGGAGGAAAAGTCCACACGTTTTAAAGTGATTGAGAAACATCCCCTTTTCAATAGCCCCTTTTCAAAAGTTGCATCTGATGTAGAGATCTTACAGAATATAAAACCCCATATAAAAACAATAAAACTAATAAAAGAAGATTCATATAATAAATTAATATACTAAAATCACTCCCCCACCCCAGTGATAACACCGGACAGTTGCAACCTTCTGACAAGCAAAGTCAATAGGGAAGCCAAATTCACTTACCAGCTGTGTTACAACTTAACAACTGCAGTGATTCACTTAACAACTGTGGCAAGAAAGGTCATAAAATGGGGCAAACCTCACTTAACAACTGTCTCATTTAGTAACAGAAATTTTGGACTCAATTCTGGTCGTTAAATCAAGGACTATCTATAGTTTTGCATTGTCATGCAAAATGTCTATTGGCCACCATATTGGAGTAGGAAAACCAACATTCTGAGTGGATGGCTGGGATTGTATATGGTATTAAGAAAAAACCCTCTTTATTGCTTAATAAGTTGCATAAACTCAGATTCAGCCAACTTCAGTGTGGCTCAGCAAATGATGTGAATCAGACTAGCGACTGGCAATATTCTTAAAATGTTTACCATCAGAAATTACATTTATCCAGCACACGAAGGAGCAAAAATACAGCACTTGACTGCATAAGATGTTCGATGAAGAATAATATAAGTTATCATAGCTGAGGAAACAGTGTATCAACTTGCTTCTGAATTAAATATTAATATAATAGTATTTTCTATTCTCTAAATGCATTGTTGCAAGTCAAGGACTACCTGTAGATAAATTCTATTGATCTGCAATCAGGCAGCTCTGAAGCTGATCCCAGTTCCAGTTTTAAGACCTGATGTGGAAATGCTCATACAGGTCTGTTATTACCTTGTTTTGTTTTGTTTTCCTTGCATGCCTGTTAATAAACCCCTATTTTGGAACGCTCTTCCTTAGGACACTGAGAAAAACGTATGCCTGGCTGCTGTGACATAGAAATGATCTCTTTGCCATTGCCTGATGGAGACGATGCAGTGGGAGTTTGCATCTTAACCTCTGCAGACCTTGAGTTGAAAGAGCACCTTCCTTTCCAATCCAGAAGCCATCTCAAGACCAAAGTAGACTGCAGTGCCAAAAAGAAATACACATCTGCAAAGAAGAAGGTACTTGGCTTTTTGCTGATTGTTCATCAGTGTCTATTACCAATGAAAAAATGGTTGTGAGGCTGAGTTTTCTGCATCCACTTGTACTCCCATCATAAATGGTCATTCTGAATTTAGTGTTACGACTGATGTGCCAAATTATTTCAGATACATTCCAGTTTCTGCTCTAGTAATCTGAATCCAATTACTTGTAAATCTTGAGTAACCAGGCTGTATCTGGCAAACTGGAGGTTGTCTTGACTGCAAAGCCGCAGGAAGAAGTGGCAAGGGGGAGCTTGCATGTGAAAACGGGGGATGTCCTGTCCTCTACCTTCACTGCAATCCTCCTTTTATAGCCAGGATTAAAGATTCCTGTTTGCGATGTGGGTTAAAAAAAAACACCACAGGAATGGAGACAGGTAGTACAGTATCATAGATTTCTGTTTCTTGGTTACACTACAGCAGGATGGTATTTGGAGAGAAGTTCATGACCAGAATTTACAAGAGAATTGGTATCACAATAACATTGTATGATAAAATGTTTTTCTGATTACTGTATTTCAGATGATAGTGTGAACTTCCATCCTCTTCACCATGCTGTTTCTGACCCTCATTTACTTCTTCTCTTTGCCCATTCTTTAAAATTAATAGATCCTCTCTATCTGTGTCTGTTTATCTATCTATCTATCTATCTATCTATCTATCTATCTATCTATCTATCTATCTATCTATCGTCAACTCAAGTTTACAAACATACTTAATACCTCTTCTTCCTCCTATTTTCCCCACACAACAGAAGTGGGTTTCGCTGAGTGACAGGCGCAAGGTCACCCAGTTGACTTTCATGCCTTAAGGCAAGGAGTAGAACTCAGTCTCTTGGTTTCTAAGCCATCACCTTCACCACTACACCAAGTTGGCTTTCATCAATCCATCATCTCCCTCTACTTCTTCCCGAGGCTCTATGACTTTGTCTGGTTTCTCCAGTTACTATCTGTCACCCTTTGATTATCCATCTGTCACCCTATCTGTTTCCTCTCGTCCTGGGATCCTGATTCATCCTTTCTATATTTTTCCCATTTGCTGTCTGAAAAAGGTATCAGATCGCGGAGTGTAAGTGATTACTTTTCTGGAGCAACATTCAATATTATTTCTTTCCAGGTTTGAAAAGGTTGAAGCTGGTAAGGCTGTGGCAAATGAAGCTTTGCCTCCTGGCTCCATATACTAAATCATACATTAAACTTTAAAAGAAATGCATACTGTATCCTGTCAACTCATTGTGCCTATTCAGAAAGATGTGTTCATATCGAGACCAAATGATCCACATATATTGTTGAAGGCTGATTGCAAAAAAAGTCTTTGCTGGGGGAATCAGGAAGAGGAGCATGTTCTACACCAGTGATGGTTAACCTTTTCGGCAATGAGGGCTGAAACGAGTGCGTGTGCACTGGAACCTGGAAGAGAGCAGCTGGCCGGTGCACATGCGCACAACGGAACCCAGAAGAGCAGCTGACGATGGTGCGCATGCCCACAGAGAGGGCTCTACGTGCCACTTCTGGCACATATGCCATAGGTTTGCCATCACTGTTCTATACCTTTTAGAGTAGTCCAATTTGAAAGAAATAACTGGAGAGGGAGAGGGATTCATTAGAGATGATCACTAACTCACCATCTTCCCCTTTTAACCTGATTCCAGTCCAAAGAAGTTTTGCAGTTTGCAAGATTTGGATTGTGTTGTATATATGAATGCCTTGTATAGGCAATAATTGAATGGGTTGCCTTTTAAATAATAGAGCCTTTCGAATCTACCCCGAATAGGGACTACAGGGTCATAAAAAGGGAGTTCTGCCTTTTAAATAAATACAAGCCTCTTGCCTGCACAGAAGGAAATCAACTTGCTTAGTCAATTGCAAATTGGGTTCTTTGCCTTTTTTTCCCAACCAAATGTGTTTATCTGGTTTTGCTAGTGACGTCATATGTGGATCTAACACTAATTAAGTTAATTAGACAACTTCAAAACTATAAGCATTTGTGAAGCAATGCAACACAAAGGCTTGTAATCTATATTTGCTTAGTCAGCATTCTGCTGGCTGTCGCATAGTTTTTGAGTCTCAGACCTTACTGTAAATCAGGGGTGTCACGACGACGTGACATATCGCAACTCCCCCCTTTGCTAAACTGGGGATGGGCATGGCCAGCGCATGACGCATCTGGTCCACAGGCCGCGAGTTTGACACCCCTGCTGTAGATGATTCACAGGCACTGCCCTTACATTTGCTCTTAAACTTCTCTCTGCCTCCTTTGCTGTTGTTTGCAGGCGTTTGCTCTCTTTGTGAAAGCCAAGGAACTGGAAGTGGACATGCCTGCTTGCCAAAGGGAAGTTTCCTGGAAATGCTGCCAACAGACTTTCAAAGATCTGACTGGCATTCATAGACATGTGGCTTCTCAACATTCAAGTGACGTTGGGCAGCAAGCATCTGTGATCTTAAAGCAGATGGCCGGCATCGGAATTAACCCTACTTCCGTGAATGAAACATCTAAGCCCAACAAGACTCCAGACAGAAACCAAGAAGCGATTTACAAGCTCCCAGATATAAGCCACATTGATACTAATGAAATGAAAAGGTAAGAAATAATTATCTTTATCTTGAGCCAGTCTGAATCTGTTCACTTTTTTCTGTCATCACTCACCCCACTTCCTAATGATTGACGATCTTCTGCTCTGCTGATGATTATCACTCATCTGTCATCTAGGAAACCTCTGATCACCGAGAGATTGATGATCTTCTGCCTATGATTGAAGAGCATCAATTCCATGTTCTTGGGAATTTATCACTGCCACCAAAGGACTTTGGTTGATCTCCTGTTCAAATGCCCTTGCCCTCCAGTTAGTTTAGTTGTCATGGCTAGATTTTAACACGTCCCATTTATACTCCTTCACGTTCCTTAAGGAAACTATTTCTTAAAACGTAATGGGTGACTATAAAGGATTAGAGATGGTTTCTTGAACTGAGTTTGATAAGTGGTTACAAAACTGAACAATTAACATTTGGTAGTTAATTAAGGGTTGGACATCTAAAGCCTGTTAAGTGTTTTATGAACTTCAGCTTCCTCATTTAAGGAAGGAGAAATGGAGACGGGGGAATGGAAGCAGGGCAGGAATAGGCTCTTCTTAAGGTCTTCCTGGTGTACTCAGGTTACCATCCATTGCAAGGTCTTTATCAATATCTCAGAGACAAAGTCGGGTAGAGGAGGGGCTCTGGGAAAGTGAGGACCAACAAGATGGTTTGACCTGAAGGGTGAGCTGCACAATTTTCTTCTCTTTTTAAAAACTTGGGAGGCGACAACAACTCAATCCATCATTCCCACTAAACTATCACTCCCGGAGTGACTCCAATAGTCCTTGACATACAACCACAATTGAGCCCAAAATTTCTGTTGCTAAGTGAGAAAGATGTTAAGTGAATTTTGCCACACCTTACTACCATTCTTACCACAGATGTTAAGTGAATCACAGCAGTTGTTAAGTTAGTAACACAGTTGTTAAGTGAATCTGGCTTCCCCATTGACTTTGCTTGTCAGAAGGTCGCAAAAGATGATCACATGACCCCAGGACACTGCAACTGCCATAAATATGAACCAATTGCCAAGTGCCTGAATTTCAATCACGTAATGCTGCAACAGTCATAAATTTGAACAACGGTCATAAGTCACTTTTTTCAGTGCCGTTGTAACTTTGAACCATCAATAAATGAACTGTTGTAAGTTGAGGACTACCTGTATTCTTTTTTTTCCCCTTCAAGTTCTCTGTGTCTGAAATCGTAATGCTTGTAATTAATGTTTGTGACTTGCTGCAAAAATCTAAGAGCAGGTATGAGAAGAAGAGTCAGGTGTGGTTCAAAGGGAGGTGTGCGGATATGCTTTCATGCATGCAAATACAGTTTTGCAGAACAAAATGCTACCCAAGCAAAGTAAAAAAAAAAAAAAAGAAGAAGCAATGCTTATGACCTGCAATCAAGAGGCGAGACACAAAATCAAAAGTAGACACAAGGCAAGAATCTAGCACCAAGCTGTTAAGGGGCTTGTAGGCTTTTGACACTAACTCTTAGAATGACTTAGAATGAATGACCTGGAAGGAACCTTGGTTGTCTTCTAGTCCACCCCCCTGCTCAAGCACGAGAAACTATACTATTTCAGATAAGTGACTGTCTAGGTTCTTCTTAAAAACATCTTCCTTCCCCTCTTTTCAGTGAAGTTGGGGAAGTTTTGCTATACTATTGCTACTGCGAGGTGGCAGATCCTGTGGGACTTTGTGTGTGGCAGAAGGCTTTATGTCAGCATCTGCATCTAACTGGAAAGGTAAGTGATTCAACACTGTTCCCTCTTTGAAATACCGTATTTTTCAGACTATAAGATGCACCTGACTGTAAGAGGCACCTAAATTTAGAAGAGGAAAACAACAAAAAAAAGTTCGGGCCTCCCTTTTTTTGGCCCTTTTCCACCCTTTTTCGGCCCATTTTCAAGGCTTTTTTCAGCCCGCTTTTTCCCAAAAAATGGGCCGAAAAAGCCCCCAAAACAGGCTGAAAAAAGCCTTAAAACGGGTTGAAAAAAGCCCTGAAAACGGGCCTGAAAAAGGCCAGAAAAAGCCCCCAAAACAGAGGCCAAAAAACAGCCGGCGGGTGGGCGGGGCTTCAGAAATGTTCGGTGGATAAGACGCACAGACATTTTCACCCCCTTTTGGGAGACAAAGAAGTACATCTTACAGTCCGAAAAATACATTAACTCTTCTATAATCTGAGTTTTAACTGAGATTTTAGTTCACATGTTTCTATTTTTTCCTATGCAGGTAGTCCTCGATTTACAACTATTCATTTAGTGACCATTCAGAAAGTGACTTATGACCATTTTTCATACTTACGACCGTTGCAGCATCTCCGTGATCACATGATCAAAATTTGGACACTTGGCAACTGGCATGTATTTATGACAGTTGCAGAGTCCCAGGGTCATGTGATCCCCTTTTGTGATTTTCTGACAAAGTCAACAGGGAAGCAAGATTCACCTAACAACCGTCTTATTAATTTAGCAACTGCAGTGACTCACTTAATAACTGTAGCATGAAAGGTCATAAAATGAGGCAAAATTCAGTTTAGAACGGTTTAGCTTAGCAGTGGAAATTTTGGGCTCAATTGTGGTCGTAGGTTGAGGACTACCGGTATATATTAACAATGTTAGTTATATTAAACACCATTATTTGGGAGGGGGGAAACCAGGTATAGTTCCAACAAATCATCATCATTATGATAGACAGTCTGGCAAATGTTCTAAATACCTATCTAGAATCATCCCTGACAGCAATTTTGGACATGCTGATTCATCTCTTGTTCACATCCAGACATTATGTAGGAAACAGGTTCACAGTCTTTTCTGGCCCTGGATTTGTCTAAACAAACCAATAAATAATCAAAATGTCAAGGGAACGCATGCATTTCCTGCAAGATCTTGCAGGATTTCAGCAGCTGTCAAAATTTTGCAGGATTTTTGCAACTTTAAAAAATATTGTTTCATTTTCAGGGTGAAGTAGAGATGTTTGTTGGGCACTTTCAGACGTGCCCTGACTCTTGGGGATTATTTTGCTGCCTCAAAACAAGTTTATCACAGTGGATGAGAAAAGAGGGTTTTTGTGGGTTTTTTAAAGTGTTTCCTACAAATCAAGCTCAGAAGCAAATAGCAACTAGCGTCTCTAACACAGATACAGACAGGTTTCATTAGACAATCCCAAGATAGTTCTTAAGAATATGATAAGCCTCTCCTTTTTTTGATGTTGCCTTTGGTTTGGATTAAATTTAGATGCAGTTAAACAAGAACAAATTGTAGGCTGTACATAATTGAAATGTTGTACATACTTTCTTGAGGGAAAGTCCTAGTGAATTCTGTTAGGATCTCTTCTGAATATACAGGTAGTTCTTGAGATACGACCACAATTGAGCCCAGCATTTATGTTCCTAAGTGAAACATTTGTTAAGTGAGTTTTACAACAGCTGTTAAGTGAATCATTGCAGTTGCTAAATTGTATCACAGTTGTTAAGTGAATCTGGCTTTCCCATTGACTTTATTTGTCAGACGGTCACAAAAGGGGATCACATTACCCCAGGACACTGCAACCGTCATAAATATGAATCAGTTGCCAAGTATTTAAATTTTGATCACGTGACCATGGGGATGTTGCAAAGGTGGTAAGTATGAAAAATGGTCTTAAGTCATTTTTTTCAGTGCTGTTGTAACTAAATGAACTGTTGTAAGTCGAAGAATATCTGTAGATAGCAATAGCAATAGCACTTAGACTTATATATTTATTATTTATTTATTTATTATTTGAATTTATATGCTGCCCTATCTCCGAAAGGACTCAGGGCGGCTCACAACAATAAAACGCGTAAAGTTCATTTTAAAAAAAAAAAAACCCAATAAAACTATAAAAACTATTAAAATCCCCTCTAAAACCCCTTCAGTCCAAGCCGGCCAGGCGGAATAGCCATATTTTAAGGCCGCGGCGGAAAGAGCGAAGGTCAGGGGCCACCTGACCGCTTCACAGTGCTTTTACAGCCCTCTCTAAGCTGTTTACAGAATCACCATATTGCCCCCAACAATCTGAGTCCTCATTTTACTGACCTTGGAAGATGGAAGGCTGAGTCAACCTTGAGCCTGGTGAGGTTCGAACTGCCAAATTCCAGGCAGCCGGCAGTCAGCAGAAGTAGCCTGTAGTACTGCACTCTAACCACTGCGCCACCATGACTCTTGGTTGCATATTTTGTAATGACTCTTCCTGCTTGGCTTCTAGGTACGAATTGCTTCAGAAGGAATTAATGGAACTGTAGGTGGGAGCAGGACATCTACTAACCTATATGTGGATGCAATGCTATCTCACCCCCTCTTCAAAGGCATTTTGACAAAGGAAGATTTCAAGGTGAGAGATTGGCAAAGGAATCTGACTGCCTTGTGACCCTTTTTGACCCTTTTTTTCTTCCCCAAAATTTTTGCTTTGGGAAAATTTTTATGCTGTATGAATGTATGGTTCTCCCAAGTCCTATGGCGATGTCAAAAGAAATCCTACCTGCTTTCTTCAATAATTTCAGGCCCATATTTGAGTTCTCTACCCCACCGATGGGATGATTGGCAACTCAGCAGAAGTGCTTCTTGGTTGATGTATTGGTTATATAGATTTGAGTTGGGAACTATATCAAGTCCAAGGGCTGAATATATTACTATATATGCTAAGAGGCAATTGTCAGCAAGTGGAGTTATGGAGAAGGGAACTACTGCTCTCTGACCACATATGTTCTTACCATTGAGGAGTACTTATGGAATAATGGAGAAAGGCCTTTGGCTCCATGTATGATTTATTTCATCTTGTGTGATGTTTCTCTGCAGACATGAAAAGGAGGAGGGCAATGATCTCCCTCTTCCTTTTCCTGGGTAAAGAAATATTCTTCACCTTCAAGAAAAAAACAGAGAGTATCTCCCATCTTCTCCTGCATGGATAAGGGCTATGTAAGAAATAAGAATCTAAAGTTTAGTTTTGTTTGTTGGTGTTCTGTTGGATCATTCTCAAGTGTGCTCCTGTTGGTTTCACCCATTCCACACCAGGGATGGGTTCCACTTACCTTTACTACTGGTTCGCAATGGGAAGCTTCTGTGCATGCGCAGATAGTCCATGATGATGTCCAGGCGGATGGGCGGAGCCTCCCGCTGCCATTACTACTGGTTCGCAAGAACCAGGAGCAACCCACCACTGCTCCACACCCTACCTTGGCAAAAAGGGAGGAGCCAGCCAAATTGTGCTTAGATAGTTTCATCTGGAATGAATGCAAACTTAGCTTATCAAGGTAGGAAAGTTACTTGACAGCTTAATGGACTGTGCTAGGTCTCCGAGGAAATTGTGCTCTTCAGGAAAGCTCCTATAAATGTCTTCAGTTTGAGTGTCTTCACTCTCAAACAGGACGAGTAAATTATTTAGAAAATCAAACCTTGTCAAACTTTATTGAAGAGGGTTGCTTCTAAATCTTTTTGACTAAATTAAGTTGGAGGTAGACTTCATAAAAACTGATTTTCTCACCTTTGATTTCCAGGGGATTAGGGCAGATGAGAGGGGAGGGGATGACGGGGCAGGGAAGATTATTGACTGTTTTAAACTGACATGGCAAGTAAAGTTTCTTGCAATTGCTTTTTGGTTTCCTTCCCTTGATTCCTCAGACCAGTGCAGGAGGAGCCCACTGTTTCCCAGATCTTCGAATTGGTGTGTTTGAAGAAATAGTGCCTATGGGAATTCACCCAAAAAAAGTCTCTTACAAAGAAACTGGTATGGAACTGGTCATATGTGATCAGGGTTTTTTTTTTTTATGTCAAGGGTTGAATTCTCCCAGAGTACAGGTAGTCCTCGACTTATAACAGTTTGTTTAGTGACCGTTTGAAATTCAGCGGTACAGAAAAAAGTGACTTATAACCAATTTTCACAGTTAATGATCATTGTAGCGTCCCCATGGTCATATGATCACAATTCAGATGCTTGGCAACTGACTCATATTTATGACGGTTGCAGTGTCCTGGGATCATGTGATCACCTTTTGTAACCCTCTGACAAGCAAAATCAATGGGGAAGCCAGATTCACTTTACAACCGTGTAACTTAACATCTGCAGTGATTCACTTAACAATTGTGGTAAGAAAGGTCATAAAATGGGGCAAAGCTCACTTAACAACGGTGTCTCTTAGCAACAGAAATTTTGGGTTCAATTGTGGTCATTAAGTCGAGGACTACTGTACCTGTAATTTCATGTGGAAACAAACATGCTGTGAAAGATGGAATAAAAGTATAAAGTAGGTGTGGCCACTGTATTGTCTCTCTCTTCTTCCTGCCCCCTTTTATTTTCCATCCTCATTCCTCCCAGCCAGTGAGCTGACATGGGGAACTCAGAATGTTTTTGCTGGAAACCCAAACTTATCTCTTTTGAAACGAGGCCAATTGTGCTTTACAAGAATCAAATGGGCGGCAGTAATCTCAAGGAACAAAAAACAGCAGCTGCAGAGCAGGCTTAAACTCATGTCTGAAGTCTACTATACAATTATTTTAAAAAAAACTTTTTGGAATAAACTAGGATTTGCTGAGGAGGGGTGTGTGTGTTAAATATGCAAGCTTGGCTCGCTGCAATGACTTACCTTCTTAATGTCTTTTAATTCTTGGTAGGAATCCGTTTGGCTCCAAAGGAGTTTCATGCAGAAGTAGAGAAATACCTTTCTCAGGGTCATAATGCCCAAATGGATACAATTTTGCTGGACTGCAGGAACTTCTATGAAAGTAAAATAGTAGGTAGCCTTAATTTGGGTGTGGTGTTGTTGTTTCCTCCTTTGGATTTACACATTTGAGATTGTATGAATACATAATAGGATACATGTCCATGTTAAGAGGCTTTTAAACACCAATTTAGTAGTACATTGCCTGTTCCCTGTTTCTCCTCCTGTCAGACCTGCCCCAACTTAGATTCTTAGGAATGAAAAAACCTCGACTTCATTTGGTTGAAGTGATGGGTTCTTTTACTAAAGTTAAGTGATGGCAGCGAAAGTAAGGCTAGATCTGAGTATTCCCTTGCAAAAGGTTACAATTTTCCCCTATCCCTCCCCCTCCCCCCTTGATCAGTTCAACAGTGTCCAATAGCGTTTGATGTTTGGGGAATTGCTTTGAAGCTGGGCACTCCTCAAAGTAATTTCACATTCCATTCTCAGACCAGGTGTCTTTGGAGGCTGCTTTATTCTGGTCTGACAAGCCTGGTTCCTGTCAGCTTGTCTCCTTCCCCTCTTTCATTTGTCTTCTCTCCAGCCCAAGTTCCCCCAAATTCCTTTCCTCCCCCATCTGTTTATGGCAGGATGCGAGCTGCACTGGCTCCCTATTGGTCTCTGGTCACAATTCAAGGTGTTGGTTACCTTTAAAGCCCTACATGGCTCATGGCCAGGTTATCTTCGAGACCGCCTTCTGCTGCATAGCTCCCAGTGACCGGTAAGATCCCACAGAGTTGGTCTCCTCCAGCTAAACAGCTAAACAATGTCAGCTGGTGGGCCTGCAGGGGAGGGCCTTCTCTGTGGCTGCCCCAGCTCTCTGGAACCAGTTACCTCCTGAGGTCCGGACCATCCCCACCCTAATGGCCTTCCGAAAAGCGGTGAAGACCTGGCTTTTCCGGCAGGCCTGGGGCCGTTGATCTCGCTCTTGTGATCTGGCGAGATCCGTCCATGAATGGCGTGAATGAGTTTTTAATGTTTTTAATGTTTTTTAATTTTTCAATGTCTTTTTATAATGATTTTTTTAAATGTATTGTGAGCCGCCCTGAGTCTTCGGAGAGGGGCGGCATATAAATCTAATTAATTAAATTAAATTAAATTAAAGCAAAGCAGCTGAAAATGGCAGACCTGACACCTCCCTTTTGTTTAAACTTTGAGATGTATAACCTGTCTTTTAAAAATGGGATTTTTACATAATCTTGAAGGTGGAAGACAAGATATAGTTATCAGCTTTGTAGATGACACCAAGTTAGAAAGATTGTCTAACTCTTTACAAGGCAAAACAAAATTCCCTTCAGAGGTCTGAACACTGAGTCATATGCAGCAGTAGTGATAAAAGTAAGAGATCCTGCATCTGGTAGGAAAAAGTGAATTCATTAATACAAAATTGGGGAGACCAGGTGAGAGGCAGTGTATATGAGCTGCATATGCAGGGGTGAAATCCAAATTTTTTCCCTACCGGTTCTGTGGGCGTGACTTGGTGGGCGTGGCAGGGGAAAGATATTGCAAAATCTCCATTCCCACCCCACTCTGGGGCCAACCAGAGGTGGTATTTGCCAGTTCTCTGAACTACTCAAAATTTCTGCTACCGGTTCTCCAATTCTGCTGGATTTCACCCCTGTGCATATGGGAATACCAGTAGACCCTCAGTGTTAAATAGCAATTAAAAAGACCGGCGTAATCTTGAACTACATTAATGATAGTATTACGTGCAGACATGATAGGTGAGTGCTGTATTGAACTCTTCATTGGTTAAACCACAGTTAGAATACTATTGAGAAATCTGTAATGTTAGGAAAGATGGAAGGAAAGAGGATGAACATTAGCAAGGAGAATGGACTTGATTACAACAGCAATAGATGCACTACTGGCAGACTGGAATGGGGACAGTCTGCCTATGTCAGGCCTAGAGAAAGTCTGCCTATGTCAGGCCTGTCACACTGGTGACTGGTGGGCCGGATATGGCCCACGCAGGCAATGCCCACTCCGCAAAGGCAAAAAACATCCCGATACGGCCCGCAATGCGATCGGGTTATGTGGTCACTACCAACTGGATGGCACACATCAATTGAATACTATGCCTGGTTCAGGAGTTACACTTTGGAAGAGATTTGGGGCAGTTCTGGGCTTGGAGGAGAGCTATCAAGATGCTGAAAGATACTACAGTCACTTCTTCAGCATGAACACTGCAGAAGCGGTCCTGATCTGCATGGTGAGATAAGGAAAAGTGTGTGGTCAGCAATTAGCACTGGAAATTAGCACCACTCAAGTGAGCCTGATGACACAGATAAACCTTCAGGTGACCTTAACGATGCAATGCACTAAAAGAATGCAAATGACCAGCTGTCTGCAAGGAGTATAAATCTTTCCATTCCCCACCATCCAGTCAGAGCCGAAAAAGCTTCTTGGATGAGAAGCGAAAGTCTTCAAAGAAAAACTAGAAAGTCCAGTTGCCTCTTGAAAAAGCACCTTTGGGACCTCAGCACTAGAAGAACTATCAAAATATCAGTCTTCAGCCTACAGGCAGGGCTGGGACTTTATTCAGTCCAGCTCACCTGCACTCTGTTGTAATTAATTATGAATTATGTACTCAAGATGGGCAGCTATACAGTGTAAATATTCTAAATCGGGTGTCAAACTTGATTTAATTGAGGACCGCATCGGGGTTGTGTTTGACCTTGGAGGGCCGGGTTGGGCATGGCCAGCTTGATGTCACTCGTGTCAGGGTGCCTGTGGTGACCCGAACGCTCTGCCAGCGAAAACGGGCGCCCGAGCTGTTATCAGCTGCCATAGCCTCCTGCAACCCTCTGCCAGGGAAAACGGAGCTCGGGAGTGCCGCCCGTGACCCTTGCAAGCTCCGTTTTTGGATGTGAGTGCCTCCTGCAACCCTCTGCCAGCAAAGACAGAGCTCAGGAGGGCCGCATCCTGTTGTGACCTAGGCTTCCTGAGTCATTAAAACACACGAGTAGTCCCAAAAACCTCTTTTATTGCAACAGCTGTGAATTATGTTCATTCACATCTGAGTCCCAATTAGTTGCAAAAAGTCCTTCAGGATAATCACTAACCTTTATCTCCTACTTGGAGATACTTGGCAAAGCCACACGGATTCTAGAATCAAGCAGAGATGACGACTGGGAACAGAATTAACAATGTTGCTTTCCTGCAAAGTGCCCATGTGCCTTTGCTCCTCTTTTAAGCCTTATGGGAGGGGCCAATCATCTCCAGGCCTTACTCCCAAGTCGTCCCTTTTGTTTTAACTGTTCATGCCTTTTGGCAGCTCTGCGCATGCGCGCACTAGGAACAGGCTCCTCCTGTTCCTCTGCCTCTCTGCTGTCCGACTCTGGAGGCGCCGGAGTCCGTGCATCACTCCCAGATGGCCCTGGCCCCATCTCTGCCTCCGACGCAGATCCCTTGTCCGGGCCTTCCCCAGACTCCAGGACAGGCCCATTTTCCTCCCCAGCCTCCTCACTGTCTGACTCCGCTGTCAAGCTCCGCAGGCTGCTGGTGGACCACAACACATGCAGCCCTCGCAAGCTCTGTTTTTGCTGGCAGCACTGCGGGCCAGTCCTTCACTATGTGGAGCTTTTCAATCAGGGCCTGGATGGCTGCTTGTCAGGGATGCACTGAGGAGCCTGGTCTAGATGGCCTGTAATATCCTTCCAACTCATTCTTTCTATGTTCTGAAAAAATCCAACAATGAGACGTGGCACCATAATATTTGCATTTGTTCCTGATTTTATCTTTTAATATCACAGGTTAAGTAATGTTTTTTTTTTTAATTGCAGGGGCATTTCCAAGGCTGTCTGGCTCCCAACATTAGGAAGTTCAGCTACTTCCCCATCTACATAGATGAGAATTTGGACCTTTTCAGGGACAAGCGCATCCTGATGTACTGTACGGGAGGAATCCGCTGTGAGCGGGGCTCAGCCTACCTCAGGTCTAAGGTGAGTCACCTCAGGGGAGCGGACTTGACTTGGAATTGGACAGGGGTGGAACACAGCAGGATTTGCACAAGGCATTCATAGTTTCCCTGGCAGATCTAATAGGTCCAATCTTCTGGCAGTTACATAATGCTGAACAAAGTCAGACTCTAGATAACCACAAATTAACTTGCACAAAATGACTTGAAGTATTTAAACTAATTACTGTTCAAAAAGAGCTGGAAGAGAGCACCTGCTCTTTCACGACCTGTAATGGATGAATCATTGCAGTTTAGATAAAGATCAAAGTTATCCTTTAATAATTTTGTGAACCCAACTATGCATTAAACAGACACCTTTGTTCAGTGCAGGAAAAACAGATGGACCAAATCTTACCCTTGCTGCAAAATTTATTCTCCATATGGCCATTCTACGGAGGAGCAAACAGCCAAACCAGATCTCAGAATCTTATGTAAAAGATAGTATCATTTAGCATCACCCAGCCTTTGATGTAATACAGAGCTGACCTTCATTACAGTTGGGTGACCTAGAAGACATTCTAGCTCATTAATTGGGTTCTTAACTAATTTAGTGACTGAGAATTTTTCTGCTCGAGGAGAGGCGAGTTTTTGATGGGGGACAATTCAGCTTCCTACTTGTTGGCAGGCTTTCCAACGATGTAATGGGGCTGAAATGTTTTGGGCCCTTATTTATGCTTTGGGGAGTGGGGAGAGGATGTTTAAGAATAGAAATGGGAGAGTTTTGTGTCATGGAGATCTTGTGCATCCCAGTCTTTCCTTTCTCTTTAGATAGGAAGGGAGGGAGGGAGGGAGCTTGATTCAGAGATCTTTGTAATTAATAGCCAGGCTGTTCTGGCAGTTTTGTCACCTTGGTCATTCTTAGTATTTTATTATCACTCCCCTGGGTCAATCTGAAAAAACAAGTTCTTCAAAACAAATTCAGATGTAACTAAATTGCTATGTTTTGTGAGGTCACAAATATACATTACTCCCACTGACAGAGCAGTATTGTCCTTTTTAGCTTTCAAGTTCAGTCTCGACTCCTGGAGACAAGTCCCTGCTGTTTTCTTGGCAAAATGTTGGAAGTGGTTAGTGATTTGCCTTTTTCCTAGGTCTGAGAGAGAGGGACTGGTCCCAAAATCACCCGGTTGCCTTTGTACCTAAGATAGGACTATAATTAATGCTGTTCCAATTTCTAGCCTGATACCTTAATCACTCCGTCAGACTGGCTTTCCTGGCAATTCTATAAATTGAAATCTACACATCATAAAGTTGCTCTAGAGCAGCATTGCTCTAGAGCAGTGGTTCCCAATGTGCAACTTGATTTTTAATGGGGGCAATTGGAATCTTGTTTAACCCAAGTTAATGGCCTTTTAGGCTTCCTCCGAGTGAGTAGGAGTTCACTTTTTGAATAGTAAGAATTATATGTCACCGGGGGTGGTGGTGGTGGTGGTGTTAGAGATGCTTAGCTGGGGCATGATCAAAAAAAGGTTGGGAACCCACTCGGGTGGGTTCTACTTACCTTTACTACCGGTTCATATTGTGCCTACGCACGCAAGCAAAGTGTGCACGCGTGCACACATGCCCTTCTGCACATGCGCAGATCATTTATGATGATGTCTGGATCAGTGGGCGAAGCCTCCCGCCGATTTTACTACCAGTTCTTGCAAACTGGTCCGAACCGGGGGCAACCCACCACTGGAACCACCTCTCTAGAGCTAGGCCTCTGAGCTCATAGGGAATGGCCTAGCATGATTCTAGAGATTAGTTTTTAGGATATGGAACAGATTGGCGTCTGCTGTTAATTGATATAGAATCCAATGCTACTCAGTCTTTGTTGAAAAAGAAAAAAAACGTAGAAAATTCACATCTTGCTTGGCTTATATCCTCTCATGAAATAAATCTTTCATAACAAAATGCAGCAAAGTGATATAGTCCATGTGTTCTGATAACCAAACTAGTTGTAGATTGTAGAACCTTTGTTGGCTTTTCAGAATTTCTAAAACTATTATTGGGTGTGGTGTTGCTTTTGACCAGGGTATATGCACAGAAGTGTATCATCTCAAAGGTGGCATCCACAAGTACCTAGAAGAATTTCCTGATGGGTTCTACAGAGGAAAGCTTTTTGTTTTTGATGAACGTTATGCCATTTCCTCAAACAGTGATGTCATTTCAGGTAAAGTATGTTCTTTCTGGTCTGAGCAGCACTTTTGCTATATGCATCCTGTAAACCAGTAGGTTGGAAACTACTGTAGGAGGGCTCCGTCCTGCTCAGCCTCCTTCAATTAGCTGCCCTTTGTATGAACAGCAAGATGGCTGCGCCTAATGAGAGGCTGTTCCAGTTCATTTAGTTGGGGGAAATTATTTGGAACGACCAAGGGTTTTTTCTTTTATACTTAAGGGGTTTTTTTTTAATGAGAGACTGACTCGCTGCCCAAATCCTTTATCCTGGTATACATTTCAACTAACTATGGTTTGGTCAGTCACAATTAAAACCCAGAATGAACATACTGTACCACATTAGTAGCACACTGCTCTTCCCCCAAGTGTTTTAAGATGTTGAGTTTGGACCAGAGAAATTCAAGTTCAAATATCTGCCCTTCCGTCATTGGAAGATGGAAGGCAAGCCATACTTTTTCAACTAATTTGTATTACAAAGTTGTGATTGTAGGAATATAGTAAACTTCAGTTTAATATACTGAGTTTAATGGACTTCAGATACAATGGACATTTTTTTACTTGTTCTTCAACCCCATTTAAGGTTAATTTGCTAAACCATTTAAGCTGTTTTTAAAAATTATGTAACTACACAAATGTATACTGATACAGATGACCTATATTCAGGTTTAACGGACATTTTGATTTAACAGATGTCCCCTCCTTCTGAATAGTCTATTAAATTAAGGGCTTACTATAAAAGGAGGAGCCACTCATGACTAGCATGAGCTTGCAGAATAATTATGGGGCCTAAATGCAGTACATAATAACTAATACGGAATGTTTGGTTTAGGCTAAATGTGCTGTGTGATCCCAACCACTGTGCTCATAAAGGACAATTTATGACTTAGCTGTCCCAACTAATTCCAATTCATTGTGTCTTACTGAATAAACCATGGATAGTAATTGGTAGCTGTGTGAACCCAATCATACTCTGCCTAAAATCATCAGAAAAATAGGGTCAGCAGCAACCATAAACAACTGCTCCCCTAACCAATCTAAACTTGCTTTCATCCCCTCCAGCTTGCCGTTACTGTGGGACACTCTGGGACCAGTATCGTCTTTGCTCTACCCAGCTCTGCCGTCAACTTGTCCTGACATGTCAGCAATGCCAACAAAAAGGGCTTACAGCCTGTTGTCCTCTCTGCCAAGAGAAAGGTCTTACACTGGCACCTTCAGGACAAACCTTCAAAGAGGAATGTGAATGTACAGGGACCCGGCAGCGGGTACCGGTGGAATGCATTTGACAACTCCTGAAGTTATACTCCCTCATGATTGCATGAGATGCCTGTTCTGAGATGTGTTTTAATGGGATTTGAGGGAGTTAATTGGGGGACAGTTAAGCAGCTCTTCAGTTCCAGCTGCAGTCAAAGTTTCAGTGTGTGATTGGATTCCTCTCAGAAGAAATTGCATGGAGGAGAAAGATTCGACCATATTTAGAGTCTTTCACCAAGACAACTTGAGGTTCTAACATGTGATGCTTTAGGATGACCTAATTTGCGAACAATGAAAAAAAAATAGAAAAACGGATCTCAACTCAACAGGGAAGGCTATAATGCATTTGCCATTAATTTTAATAAGTTGCATAGAATTCTGTGCCAGTTATGAATGTTGCCGTCTAGCAGTAACAGAACTAATGGGATGTCATCTGTTGACTGTGAATTGGGCTGTATTGCAGAGTTAGACAAGCTTTTTCATCCTGAGGATTACACTTTGGGCCATAGGAATTAGGGTTCTTAATATTGTATAATTAGAGTAAGAGGGGTTCAACCTTTTGATCCATTTTCAGGAGTGTTAGGGACAGAAGTACAGGTGCTCTTTTTGCTTCTTAATTCCTGTAAAGAAGTCAAACTTGCCTCAGTTTTAGGGAAGAGATGTTTCAGAATTTAAAGGGCATGTTGAATATCTAAAATATCTCCTATCTGTAAATAGGAGGAAGCTTTATGTATACCGCCTTAAATTGCACAGAGATGATATAATAATAATTAATAATAATTAATAATAATAATAATAATAATAATAATAATAATAATAATTTAATAATAATATCATCCTTTTTGCTGTTTTAAATCCTCCAATCTTTCTTCAGATGAACATTGAGTCCAAAGATTAAAGCTATGCCTGTTCCTGGATGCTCGCCACTCTGAATCATTAAAGGTTCTAATGATACTATGAGCACCAATGGAAATTCCCCATGTCCCTTTAGCTGTGGAATTCTCATCTCCATTTGGGGAGGGCAGAATATGACACTGTCAAGTGGGAGACATAAAAGCAAATGGTACCCTCTTTTGGCAAGAGAGGCAAAATCATATTTATATGGCTTCAACTTTCAGCCACTGTCTGCAGAATGTAAGGTCACCCTTCGTCAAGGAAATACAGAAGAATTGTGCAGTGAGAAGATATATCCTTATCAACAGTGTAGGGAGATTGGCCAATCTTGCATAGGTACTAATTACTCTGCTCTGGCAGAGCAAATGGACTGAAATGAATCCAGAACCTCAAATAAAGCTTTCAAGTGTTATATCCCATGCAGCTTTTTGCAAAAGTATGTTAGATCAGGGAGACTGTCGCTATGAGATAGCGAAACAGAAACATAATATAAAAATAAAACATTCACTTCGCAAGCAGAAAGAGGCCTGGCACACTCTTGTGTGATTTATCAGATTTAATCTATTATTTTAACTTCACTTCTTCAGGAAAATTAGAAATAACCAACATCCCATTCAGCAGCTGCCTTTCTTGTGACTATTGCTTGGGACAGTGTTTCTCAACCTTGGCAGCTTTCAGACTGGTGGATTTCAACTCCCAGAATTCCCCAGCCAGCATCTTAAAATTGCCAAGGTTGAGAAAGCCTGGCTTAGGGAAACAGTGGCCTTACATATTTTTGTGCTGGAGGGCTGTGAGCTGCTTTAAGTATAATAGATGATTCTAATGCTCAGTTGCAATTTAGGGTTCTGGATGTTGCTGGCTGATAGCAATTCTCAAGTCTTTAAAGTGATTATGTATATTGGGATGATAAAAATGTCAGATTAGCAGAATCTTTCTAATTCTTTCAAAATGAAAATAAAGTATTTTTTTAACATTTCTGCTACATTTACAGAGTAGTATTGCATATTTTTATTGTTACTAACTACTCATGCATATCAGAGCACGCACACACACACATTCATACAAAAACTAGGCTGTGATCTAACTATAATTTCAAGCTGTTCCCGAGCCATGATATCTTTCACCAGAATTCAAGATTGGTTGACAGGCTAAAACTTTGGATTACTGTTTAAAAATAAAAATGTTATATTCTATAAATTGATAATGAAGACCTTTGCCCATAATAATTATTTAATTTAAAATTTTCATGTGCAAGGGTGTCGTACGAAAAACAAGCTGCATAAAATCATCGCACAGTTGCCTTGCTTCCGTAAGCCATCATAAACCAGTGCAAGCTTACGGACACATCTCCACAACCAAAACTACACGCCGGTTCGACACTTGGGAAGGATAGGTCCAGTCAGGTCTGCAAGTCGTCTTTTTCTCACTGAGGAAAAAAAAACAACAGTTGAGGTCAGGACACATTTCTTATGTATAGAAATGGGGAGGTCCATAAATACTCTAAATTCTTGAATTACAAGACCATCGGAGACAAGGACAAGTAACCCTGGGTGTAACAATTAGAATACTAAAACCTCTAATCATCTTTGAACAAGCCTCAGCAATTCAATGTTGGATATTTAAAGAAAGAAATCAAATGTCTGAAAACACTAGGCTGAATTAATTGCCAGGGCTCATTTTGTGCCCTTACTGTGTAATTCTTATTTTAAAATTCTTACTTTAACCAAACTAAAAAGCAAATATGCACAAGACCACACCCTCTGTCTAGAGCAGGTGTTTTCTAATTTTCAGGCTGCAGAACCTGTTCAGGAAAAAAAAAAAACAGAATCCCTGATCTGCATGTCAACTGACAAGCCCTTCCCTATTGACAGTGTTGCTACTGATGCCCCTGAAGAGCATTGTTAAGGTGGGAGCAGATGGTCAACTGTATTCAAACTTTTCTTTTTCTCCTTTGTTGCTTGCAGAGGTTTTTTAAAAATCCCATTAGTTCCACAAAAGTCAGTTTTAAGTCCTTGCAGAACCCAGTTTGAAAAACCCTGGCCTAGAATATGTAACTGTCCATTGCAATCAGACTAAGAAGAAAACCGGACTCCACAATGTTTGTTTTACTCCCTTCTCTCCCCATCCAAATTTCTGCAGAAATTAGTTCCAATTGGATTCTTGATTAAGTAACTCTGGTTGCAGTTTCCCACTTATGATTCTTTGGGGAAAAGCAACTGTAGTTAGAAGAGTTACAACTGAATGAAAATGGTGCAAAAGACAAGTTTAGGGTTGAAACGATCAACAGTTTGAATTTTTTTTTTCATTGTGGAAGATCCAGACATTGTACATGGGAATAAACATTTAAAAAATCTTCACTTTGTTGGAAAAATCAAGTTAAATGCCAGCTGTTGAAGTAGCTCTTCATAAAACTGACACACCAGGTGGTTTTTTTCCTGACAAAAAATAAGTGCTGCCCTGTTTTTATCAGACTGAATTGCTGGCATTACAATAAAGGCAACCCTAATGTAGAAATGAGCTTTAAAAGAGGGTATGATATCTGGAGAATACCATCTAACCTCATTTGGCCTAATTCTGGTTGGCTAGCTGCATGTTCTGTACTTGGGCTGAAAACCTTTGGGACTGTCTACAGTGTAGACTCTACATTGAGGAAGGTTGTTTTTAAAGAAACTATTGTTCCCAGCTGAAATCACATGATATTCAATTGCAAAAGTCAATCACATAAGTAAGCAGAAGGCAAAGGAAGAGCAAGGACAGAATGAAAGAGTGAGTCACAGTCATTCAACCATGAAGATAGGAGATATTTTCGTTCCAATAAGGCAGCTATTTCTGAAGAATCAAAGGACATCCTAGAGAAATCCATGAACAGAAGTGCAAGGGGACAGTCAGAACCAAATGGAATAGCAGAGAAGCACTACTAGTTCCCAATCAGGGAAGGAGAGTAAAGAAATTGCCAAGACGAGATTGCAGGGAAATACTTATACATCTTCCAGTTCCAGGGCTGAGGTGTTATGTCAGGCACCGTCACTTCGATGTATACAAGCTGCAAATAAGAACTAAGTCAGATATTTTCTGTAGAGCTTTTGCACCAAGGAGGTCAACTGAGACCATTCCCCAGCCAATTGACATCTGTTTCTACTAACAAAATCTGGATTAATAAATAATTGTGATAGATTGCTCTCCATGTAATAGGGCTCTTCCTTGCTATGCTCATCCAATCAATGACAGAAGCTTCATATATTGTGAAATCCTTGATATTCTCTGAGCATGGCTGTTTGATTGCACATGTCTCATTACCTAACTAGGTAATATCAGTAATGAAATGTCTGACAGCAAACAACCAAGCTCAGAGAGCATATAGCATCTTTATATTTCCATGAATGCAGTATAATACAGGCACAACATATTTTGCAGAGCAGGTCCTTTGTTAATAGGTTTGATCTTCCATGAGCACTAGTGAAACGCTTAAGCTAATTTGTAATTCCACAAGAGGTCAAGATTTTCCACTGTTTGTGAGCTGGAGAGTTTGTAATCTATCTGTATATTCTATATATATGCTACACGCTTTACATGCAAACTGTTCCTGACTGAATGCAAATTGTTTCTATAAAAGGATCTCCAAGTCCATGAAGAAATACTGCAAGTTAAGTTAGAAGGTAATATTGGTCCAGACCAATGACTTGAATCATCTGAAGGCAAGTTCATCTACCAGTAATTACATCCCACTTGGTATATGCTGTTTTTTTCCTGAAAAGTTTGGCAACATCAAAAAAACTAAACAAAATCAATCCCAAACTCACACTTTGAATACTGCAGGAATAGCAGCCAGGGAATTAAGGGAAAGAGACCACATTTTAAAAGTCTGATACTTTTTGATTTAAAAAACCTCAGAAATAATAATCTATCTTTCCACATATTTCCATTTCTTGAATTTATTGATTTGTTTGCTTGCTTGTTCTTTTATATTTCTAGGTAGAATCTTGGTCTCCTTCCTTTTAAGATGCCAATTTGTGATATTCCTTTGAAAAATATGATCTCAAGCAACATTCACCCTCCACTCCCCAGAAAAACCCTACCCACTTATGAATCCAGCACTCCCCCACCCCCATAAATATTGAATGAAGGAAAATTGACGCAACTACAAAAAGATAACAAGAAAGCAATCTCTTCTGCCCACTAGGGAGCCAATAAACAACATCTTTCCCAACCTGATGATCTTTAATTCTTTAGCTGGACTACAACTCCCAGAATTTTCAACCAGACGTGACCAGTTAAAGAAAGCTAATATATAACCATGCCATCTCTTGGATTAACAGATCAAGTAGTATGGTCATGTCCACCCCAAGAACCCATACTTCTATGAAAAAAATAAATCTCACCTAGGTCATTGTTGTTCATCATAGCATTGGATGCCCGAAGTCTGGGTCCCTGTTGAGTGAAGTTATAACCAAACCTCAAGAGAGAGGTATTTTTTTCTAACATACTGGCGATCTCCATTTCTACCTTGTTGCCCAAAAGCTGGCACTTAAAAAAGAATAGAAAAAATAGCATAGAAGCACTTTTGAATTTTAATTGCTTATCTTGCAGGTTTATGCCTACGTGATGAGGCAGTACAAAGGAGAAAGTTCATCAGAAGAGAGCAGAATGTCCCTCTGTTTATTATGCTAGAAAAGGGGAAGATACAATAGGAGGAAGGGCTGCCCGTGACTGCAATGGGAGGAATGATAACCTACTGAAACTATAAAGAAAGACTAATAAGGTTGTTTGTAATCTTGGAGTCCCAGGTTTGTCTGGGAGAAATTAAGAGCCAGAGAAGTTAGATCCTAAAGGAATCCTAGACTCTCCCTAAAATTCTCTGGAACCAGTGCTCTAATAATATATTGCTCTAGCATTCAAAAATTTAAGGAGTCACGTGATAGAATAAAAGACATTTTATGCCAGATGTGACCCTCCCTCCATACAACAAGAAGCTTTTGATTGAGGATATCAAAGAGTGAAAGCACACACAGCATTTCTAGAGCATTATATCCACCTGGAAGCATCCATCATCCTTGTCTACAGTCCAGACAAGTGTTTCTCAACCTTTGCAGCTTGAGGCTGTGAGAACTTCAACTCCCAGAACTCCTCAGCTAGTATACTGGCTGGGGAATTCTGGGAGTTGAGGTTCACACAGCCTCAAATTGCCAAGATTAAGAAATACTGATCTGGACAGATCTATTCCATCTTTAAGCTGAATATAAATGTCAAGCATATGTAATGCTCAATGGCTGTTCCCCCTGATATCCTCAAGTGTCCTCCTATCTCAGTGTTGTAATACAAAGCCCAGAATCAAAATGGAAGAGGAGGTTATTGCTTGGACTATAAAATCTGGTGGAAGCTGATATTATTCTACAGAGGTTACCTGGTTATCAATTTTGAGTTCAATTAGTGTTGTGTTGTTCTGCAGTGCTTTTATCAGGGCCAGGATTCCAGATCCAGTAATAAAATTTGATTCCACATTTAAACTCTTCAATACGCAGTTTTCTTTTATCATTTCTGCCAACGCCTTCCAATGAAGAGAAGACAAAGAGAAAAGCAAAATACTCATATATTATTACTGTTGCTAATAACTTTAAGCAAAGGTTCAGTGACAGCACCATTAATACAAGAATGCCTTTTTTGTCACAAGTTAACTACAATGCTGACTCAAACCAGAGTTTTCTATCTTATCTTTTGGGTGACTGAGAAACCCACAAGGAAGCTTTGACACATCACAGGGTTGTTATTATGAGCAACATTAGTGATGCCCTTCTAAATTAGACTCTTGGCTAGTTCAACTCAGCTGCCAACCAACTGCCCAAGGAAGTTGTACAAAGCAAAGGCAGGATATAAATCTAAGAATGAACAAATTAACAAGATTATTTTATATGTGAAAATAGAAATAAGCTTTTAGTGATAGGAGTTGCAGGATCCAATCCAAGCCGATCACTGGGAACAAAGCTTTAATCTTCCAAGCTTGTGCTTGGGTTTGTGCTGGAGTTCATCAGCATCGGGGAACCTCTCTCTCTCCAGAAATATTCCCTGATGATGGGCTCCTGCAGGAGCCAAAAAGCTTGGAAGAATAATCCAATTATTGGAAGAATAATCCAATTTGTGTCCCATTATCCTGGGACACAAATATTTACCTTCATTCATAACAACAGAAGTCATCAAATTTGATTAATGATTAACCTGAGAATTCAGCCATAGAGAGTTCTTTGTAAAGAGAACAGCTCTGCTACCAAGGAACCTAAAATCAGTTTAAGACTGAACATATGACAACCCTCAGGAGCATAAGTTACCTTCTTAAAAGGGGCGTATTTTAGCTCTAGGGATTCATATTCTTTTAAGAACCTGCAGTCTTTCAGTGGATCTTTCCACTGTAGAATTTATAGAATGAGTTCCTTGAAGGTTGACAGCTTGGAAGTTTAATGCACAGTCCCCTAACTTCTTTACCTATTGCCCCAATTTCTTCTGCTTCTGTCAACCATGTCTGTCATAACTCAAACCAATAGTTTATAACAAGTATGATTCATTAGAAGAAAACCAGAACCATTGAATAAGAAATAGCATAGTTCAAAGAACTGTGTGAAAGAGCCATATAGTCTCAATTTCTTGCTCATGCAGGAACTGTTAAAGCAGGGGGCTACTCAGCCTCTGTTTGAAGATCTCCAGTGAAGAAAAATATGCTACCTCATGAGGCAACCTATTCCAATGGTTATTATTATTACCTGGAATTACTCTTATTACCTGGAAATTCCTTAAAATAAATAAATCCCAATGACTAATCAGAATGTCCTTCTCTATAGTTTCCATCCATTGTTTCTCGTCCTAGTTTTTAGCACAGCAGAAAACCAGTTCACTTCCTCCTCTATATGACAACCCTACTTCTGAAGACTACTATCACATCTTTCAATCATCTCATTTCCAGACTGAATGTACCCGGTATTTTTACAGGAATTGGTTTCCAGTCTCCTCCCCATCTTGATCACCCTCTTCCTAACTCACTTGGAAAAAGGCAGTGTTCTTATATCAGACTTGGATTTCAACCAAATAGGATGTCATTAAAGGAGGCAAATTAATCCCAATAAAAGCTTTTCTGAGAAGATTAGGTGCACGTCATCTGACACTTACAAAAGCAACAGGGTCATTACTTCTTGTTCCTACTATGCTGAACTTTTTCACATAGGTGTTAGTCTTCAGAGCTTCAGCATAGGCTTTCAAAATAGGTACAGGGATATCCTTTAAAACAGAAACATCAGACAAGGGTGATATGAGCTGTTTTTGTGTATGGGACAGAACCATAAATTCAAAGGAATCATGGATCTCCTAAATCCAGTGACACCCTTTAAATCATTTCAAACATGTCAGTTCTGTGCTATTATCCTACCTTTCCCCTGCTGAGTTTTTAAGCAAAAAATAAACCCAGTTGGAATCATTTTATTTATTTAACTTATACACCACCCATCTTGCCTGGATAGTGAAGAGTGGGAACAGAAGATAGGAATCTCAACTTCATTTTAAAACAGGTAGAATAAAGCAGTGGTAAAACATATTGCAAAGAAAATCAAGCAACTGCACTTGGAAAGTAGTATGTTCTTTTGGTCCTTCTGCCATACTTTAGATTCTTCCTTGATTTAGAATTATAGTCCAAAATGTGCCTGGAACAAAACATGTGTATATAACTTGGGTTTTTTTTGCAGCATCAGCTTTGTTTCATATGTTAAATATCAGAGAGATAGACAGGGAAAGCATCTGTCACAATAATGCCAACTATATTTTCTCTGAAATGATTGACTGCTTTTTGATGGAAAGAATGATGTATATTGTTTTAGAACTACCATCTCAGTTTAACTTCTACTTCATGATTCAATTGTAGTTCTGGTGTGAAAAAGATACCTTTTCAACAAGTCAATTCAAGTAATGGAGGGAAAAGTCATTGCCTTTATTCTCTAGACGCTTCTTGGGTCATGGAGAGGGGAATGCAAATGGCAGCATATAGCAAACCTTAGATGAGTTTGAAAAAAGGCATGCAAGTCCAATTTGGTAAATACTTGAATGGGAGACCATTTAAGGGTAGCCTGCAACATCTTTAAAAAATCTTGGAAGAAGTCAATAGGAGCCTCTTTATTGTGAAGAAACCCCAAAGAGTGTATTTCTGTACAGACAGTCCTTGACTTACAACTACAATTGGAACCCGAATTTCTGTTGCTAAGCAAGGCAGTCAATAAATGAGTCACACCTGATTTTATGAATTTTTGGCAGAGTAATTTAGTAGACCATAGTACAAATTTTACCCCTTCTGACTACTTAAAGCAAACCCAGGTAGAAAGGAAATCATACCTTAATATTATTGAGATTAATTTCCTGAAGTTCTGGATCATTGTTTTTTACTCGTTCCAAAGTTTCTTCTACATTGGTTGAATTTGGCTCATCAGGAACTGGTTTATACTGGGTGGGCTTAATTATACCTACATGAGTGAAAGAGATAAAGATCCATGTCCATTTGCTTCTGACCAGTCATTAGTGATACAATGAAGAAAGAGTAGTAGCTTCACTCTTACTCATCTTGTAAGCTTCAACCCTGATCTCCTAAAGCTTACAACATTTGTAATAGCATTTATTTCACTCGGTGTATAAATGGAAGAATTTTATTTTCTGATGCTGGATTCTTATGAAAATAAATTAAAATAAGTTCAGTACCAACCAACCACTGATACAGTTTTAAATTCTTATTGGCCAAGTGGTGACAAAAACATCTACAAAGTTGAATACAAAGACATGGAACAGACTCAGCTTTGGTAGTTTAATAATTAAGCTGCTTTTTAATTCTATTTTCTTTAAAAATGCTTTCATATGCCTCTTACAGAGGCACAGAACAGACAGATGTCTTTTCAACCCATGTTGAAAAATTGGAATTTAAATAAGTTTATAAATAAATGTATACAATAATAATGTTTTATGTCTCTTAGCAGCTGTACTGAGAGAATAGTAAGATTTATAGATTTTGTTTGGAATGTGTTTTTAAGATTTTTTTTTTTCAGTTTAGAGACCAAAGAAAAGGGGGAAAATACATTTGAATGTCTTGTTTTCTGAAATTCATGCTTGGAAATTTTTTGGGTGCATAAACTGCATGCCAGGAAGGAAAGCTTTTTTTCTGTACTTCATCATAACTGTTTTCTTTTTAAAGTGAAATCTACATTCATTGTAGACATTGACAGTGTATTTGCTTCCTCAGTGAAAAATGACAAATTGTATGTCATGAAAAAGACTACCCCTCACCAAAAAATAGGGGAAAATTTTTCATATTATATACGCACTTATATTGTACATATATATAAGCACTAAGTATTTAGAAAAAGTATTTCTTTGATCAATTCTGAAATGTGTATTTTTCTGAAACTCCAGTACAAATAAATTTAACATTTCTACAGTATCAATAATTCCAACATTCTCAAGTGATCTGCTCTGTAGAGAACATATGTCTCTATAATCAATTCTAAACATAAAGTATTAATCAGTAACATTCCCTGGAGATTATTTCAAAGAAATGACTTTTCCCAGGGCATATGACCCTAAAGATGGAGATATGGATTCACATTATGGATGCATATTACAAAAGTACCATTAGCATCTTTACCTAAAAATTAAAGATGATTCTCTGAAAGAAAACCCAAGGAGAAGAAAACCTATATGCAGCAAATCCAATACCCAGCTTCTCCATTTTATCAAACTAGGTTTGCTTACTCCAATTGAAACCAAATTTGGAGATTATTACTGTCCTGACAATAAACCACTGACCTACTTGAATCTTTTCCTCTCTGTGTATAGATACTTGCTAGAACTTCAAAAACAGAGCAGGAACTCTGCAAGAAAGGTGTTAAAACTGAATTAAGAACTACTAAGCAATTAAAATAATTGCTTGTAAAATAAGATGCTGTATTCACAGATTTAATTAACACTATCTACAGATATCAACTATTCTATCTCTTGTTCAGAAATGCAAATCATTCTCACAAACACATACAGACACTTTCTCCTTCCTCCTTCCAATAGAAACACACACCAAAGAGAGAAAAAGAAATAACCAGAATAGAACTGGAGCAAGAGGAAAGTTTTCTGAGAAGGAAAAGGAAGATTCAGTGATTAAAAGGTATGGTCCACAAAAGCACTATGTTGTGATTTCACAAATGTACAGAAAGGGGCAAAATTTGCCTTGCAAACAACACCACCACACTGTTTTTGTAATTTTGATGAAAGCACTGGATTTTGGAGATGCTTAATAAGAGAAGGCAAGAGAAAGGGAAAAAAAGTATGGAGACAAGGTTGGGAGAAAAGCAGTCCTATTTAATATTACAGAAAGTTTAAATTCAACAGGAGAAAAGTCCTCCCAAACAGCAAGCTAATTTTTAGACTGATCTTCAAAAGGACTCTGTGATATTTGGAGCCACTTGCAACTCATGCTTATTCCTTCGTTTTTACTATCTTCTGCTCTTTTCATTAAATGTAGGGACACAGAATTATATGGGGGGGCGGAATCAAATATAGGTATTGGGCAATTATCTGGATTTGAAGGGGAAAAAGTGATTCTGAGTAGTGTGGAAACATACATCATACCTTTTGAATTTATGTGCCTTCACAGAATATGACACAAGCATTCTCACATATTCTGAATCTGCTTTCCTCTCTTGAATCTGGATTTAATCTGAATCTATACTGTTTTATTAACTATAATTATAACACTGCTGCTTTTGACTCCCTTTGTTAGATTATTGTAGTGTTGTAAACCTTACTTACTGTCCAATCCTTCTTTGTTGACTATAGTTGTACTCCCTCGTGCTTCATAATATTGTTGGTTACTCATCAACGTATGCATGCCAAGAATAGCTACATGAGAGAAGGGGGAAAAAAATCAAAGAAAACAAAGTTAAATAAATTTATAGATTTGTCATTCCTGGGAAAGTGATCTGGCCAAGACACTCAGTAACCTAGAAAAAATGTGAAATAATAGGGATATTTATTTTGAAAGGGAATATTGAGAAGATCCATTGAAGCTCAGCACAACTTGTATGTTCAAACAGGATGTGATTCCTTATTTCTTCATAATGCTTTGGCTAATTAGAGGGTTTTTTTGGTTGTTGTTTTTTACATAAGCAACAACATGCTACATTGGATAATTAATCATCCATTACCAGTGGATTCCTAACTGATGTGATTATCCCATTGCATATCCCATTAAATCTAAGAGAATTTCACTGCATCAACCCATTATGGGAAACAGGACTGGGATAAATACAGTTCTCTTCACTAATTGGTAAATTGCTATAGTATATCTTACCAAGTGAGCTCTTTGCAGTAATGCATTACCATTTAACAAAGCCTGAGTCACATCTGTCCTCTAATTCCAGTATGAATAGAATCTGAGCTACTCCCAAAATCTGCAAGGGCTTAATAAAGTGAGTTGCCTTCTCTCAGCCTTAGGAAGCAATGCCAAACCACTTCTTGAAAACCTTGCCAAGAAAATTGCTGGGATTTGACCTGGCAGTGTCCAAGAATCAGACATGACTGAATAGAATATATACACACACTAAGTTGTCTTGTTGGTCTCAGAATCAATAAAAGCTTATTTGATCACAGGGTTAGTTCACAGCTAGCATTTTATTCTGACATGCTTTCAATAACACACACACAAATATCTTATAAAGCTACATCCATTCCTAGTTTAGGAAACATGCAACATTCTGGACAGTTGTACATTTGATGGCAACTTTTTGTTAGGAATATAGTAAGTTCTGCAGTACCATAAGTGATAAATACATATTTTAGCCAGTTATTTGTATATACTGTACATATTGTATCAGCACCATCTTAGAGCAGGCATTCCAGAGTTGCATTTGAATGAAAATGAAGTAGCTCTTTTCTAAATCACTGCCTGCCACCTTCAATTTTTGTAAATCCTTAACAAAATATTCAATCATCGGTTGAATGACTAAGACTGGAGTCCCAAAAAGGACTCGTTAGGGCGCAGATGATGGAATAAGCTGTGTTCTTGTTGAAAAATAGCATTTCCAAATTGTCTTCTCTTTATATAAAATATATCTTTCTGTATTTAATTTGCTTTATTTAGTGTTTATAAACACTAGCTTTGATCATGCTCCAGAAGTTCTTTAACAAGCAGCAGAAAGCTCAGTCAGGTGTTCAGTTGCAAAGGATCTGTCTGTCTGTCTATCTATCTATTATGCTGAAATGCATCTTTTTTTAAAAAAAAACCTTGTATAATTTTTTAAAAAATGTAATCAGATATATATTTTAAAATATCAAAATAATTACCAAAAAAATTTTTTTTTGTTTCTAGTCTATGGCTTCCCAATTAAAGTTTCTTAAAGAAACATTACTAAGCCGAATTGGTCTCTTGTAATATCCCAGAAGGGGGATAGAATCCATTACAGCACATCTTACAATGGACTTGATGCCATATTTTCCCTTTTGCTTTGTGTGCTAATGAGGGCTGTGGAAGTTTTCTACCAGTTGTGTAGAACTGGTAAATTCAGATTTCTGCTGAATATACTTATGCAAATTATTACAGTATATTGTAGTCGTCCAAGCAAAGTTGTAATACAGGTAGTCCTTGAATTATGACCACAATTGAACCCAAAAATTCTGTTAAAATTGTTACGTGAATCTGGCTTCCCCATTGACTTTGCTTGTTAGAAGATCACAAAATATAACCCCAGGACACTTCAACCATCATAAATACATGCCAGTTGCTAAGCATCCAAATTTCGAACACATGATCGCAGGCATGTTGCAATGGTTGTAAATGTGAAAAACAATCACAGGTCACTTTTTAAAATGCCATTGTAACTTCAAACAGTCACTAAACAGATGGTTGTAAGTCAAGGACTACCTGCATATACAGCATATATTGTAATCTAGTCCCTTAAAATGTTACATACACAGGATTTGCTGTGAGATACGGTAGTTTATCCCAAACAATTGATGCATCTCTTCAGAATAAAACTGAAAATCTACTCAATCTTCACATCTTTAAAAAATTTACTTTAGAAGGTACCAGGTCTAAGAAGAATTAAACTGCACTGGGGAACTTAACTGCAATCATTAAGTTACTGCATTTATTTCATTAAAACAAAGCAAAGTCTCAATGCAGTGACTCATGCAGAGATTTTACTAATAGTTTGCTTTGTTAGATACCTCATTCTGTTATCTCGGCACCAGAAGCAGCCATAGGAATAAACAGCAAATACACTTAGACTTATATACCGCTTTACAGAGTCAGCATATTGCTCCCAACAATTTGGGTCCTCATTTTACCCACCTTTGAAGGATGGAAGGCTGAGTCAACCTTGAGCCTCGTGAGATTTTAACTGCCAAATTGCAGGCAGCCGATAATCAGCAGGAGTAGCCTGCAGTACTGCACTCTAACCACTGCGCCCACCATGGCTCATACATTCAATTCAAAGAGATAACAGAATTACTCAGGCCTACCAGAAACTTATTGGATGACAGAGTAAGGCCAGGGTCATGCACTAAATATTATGGATGAGCAGTGCACCAAATTGCCACTACAAATATGGTATGTAGATGTATTTGTATGTAAATAAGCATAAGCAGCTCTTGGAACTCCTGGAGTATTGCACATGTATTTGTTTTTGGAAAGGGCAGGGAAAAATCTATACTGTGTTTGGATAGAACAATCAGTTATTGCTCTTTTAGATATGCAGAACTACTCATTAGTAAATATCCCATTTTGGCATAAGCTTGGGGTGCATTCATTAACTGCAAACCCATTTGCCATTTTAACGCAAGTTGGATTCTTAGCAGATCTTTATTCATGAGCGCATAGGGAGTGAGAATTTCCACTTTGCCAGTCTGCATGTGATGAAGGAAAAGTAGAAACCAATGAGCAAGCCTTTGGTGGGAATTCCAATTCACAATCCAGTTTGTGCAAAAAGAATAAAATGATAAAGCAGCAAAATAGTTTTGGATAGCAGGGAGTGCGGCAGGCCTAATGCAGTCTTGCATTCATAAAGCAGGACTATGAGGTCACCAGCATGGCTCTCTTACAGTCCTTCTGCAACTTCTGCTGAGATGGATGATGTCATGGAAATGTGAGAGGAAGAGGCAGCAGGCTGGAAGAAACAGACATAGTTAAGGCAGGAATGGGGTTGCTTCAGGGAACTTGAGGTGAATAAAGGGAGGGGGATTTTAGTAAAATCAGAAATGAGGGTTAAATCACACTTCTGGAGAATAAAGCCAAGCTCAGACAAGATGGAATGGTGAAAAAGATGGCTCTGAGTGAGTCACAGAAGAAAAGGCAGAAAATGAATCTAACAATGAGATACATGTTGGTTTCTTATACTTCTTTCTCCACATGAACCTGAATTGTGACATCATAGAGAGGAAGAGAAGAGATGATCCTTTTAGGCACCATGGATTACAGAGCATCAAAATGTAGACATTTGGATTGACTGGACCATTCAGGGAAAAGGGTTGTCCATTAAATCCAAATTTCCATCATTTGCTTTGATTTATCTCACTTATATACTGTAACTATGTAACTGATGAAATAAGCATCATGTTATATCTTGAAGCTGTCAATTTAATCGACAGAGTCAAGGTGAAGTCAAAATATGACAAAAATTTCCACTGAATACCAAGCCCACTAAATAAGGATTTATTGTATTTTAACACCGAATTTGCTTCACCAAGGAGGAAGCTTCAGTATGCTTTACTCATATAAAAATTCTGTCCGTATTTTTTATATTTGAAAAAGTCTATAGGTTTCCCCCAGTAAAATAATCCACAGTTGTCTCTCTTTTTCTTTCCTTCTTAGAGAAAGTTCAATGATTTCCTGCTTTATTAACTTTCTTCACAGCTTTTCAAATCCTTGTCTGACTTTACACTTCCTGTGAAATTAATTTACTATGCTGGCAAGATGGGAAGGCATTAAATGGATCATACTTTTCTTCCCATCCAAATATCAGCTTTAAGAAAACCAGCCAATCTTCAGAAATAATACTTACCTCACACCAGTGTTTCTCACTGGTGCTGGCTGGGGAATTCTGGGAGTTGAAGTCCACATACAGTATGTTAAAGTTGGCATAGTTGAGAAACATTGCTTTACCAGGCAATGTTTCCAAGCTCTTTCCCAGCCAGGCTATCCAGATTACAAATGGCTTATGCAGTTTTACAGCAGACAATGAACCCTTGGTTGGAGGGGGAAATAAGAAACCACTATATTTTCTTTTCTTTTTGTGAAGTGGGCTTGGCTGACCAACCCTCAATTGCTTTCCAAGCCTTTTTCAAAGGACTATCTTGGCAAGCCTAGCAAAACCTTGTGTGCAGAAGGGTAGGAAAAGTTGAAAGAAGAAGGAAGGAAATAAGCAGCTTGTTTTGCCTTTATTTTATTGTACTGCGGACAAAGGGGTAAGTCAAATATTTGTATCTTGCAAATTTAGTAATGAGTTCAAGCCTTCAGCTGCTTATTCTGCTGTCCCACTGTAGAATATTTGTCCTAATGCCGAGAACTCAAAGCCTTTTAGAATAACGATAATTGTAATAACAACAACAACAACAACAACAAAATAACACATTCACTCTTGCATCTTACCAGCAATGTCGCAGAGTTCAGCATCGGAAGCGTTTGCCAGGGCTTCCTCCAGTTCTGGTTCCAGAGTTACACTTTCCAAAACTGGATCAATAGCTTTCTGCTTGGGGACCCAGATTTTTCCTAGAAATACATGAAGAAGTAACAGATTCATTCCAATCCAGCAAACATTAGACTAAAATCCATTTTAGTCTAATGGTTAAAGCACCAGGCTAGAAACTGGGAGACTGTGAGTTCTAGTCCTGCCTCATGGACTCATGCCTTTCATGCCTCATGAAAGCCAGCTGGGTGACTTTGGGCGGATCAGTCTCTGTCTCAGCCCAACCCACCTCCCAGGGTGGTGGTTGTGGGAATAATAGGAAGAAAAAGGTGTGTTGAATATGTTCACCACTTTGAATTATTTGTAAAAAGAATAAAGGAGGGATATACTGTAAACAAATAAGCAAACAAATAAATACATTTTACTCTCCTACCTAAGGTGGTTCTTTCATAGTTCCTAACTTTTCAAGACTAAAAGAAAGGGGGAGAGGCATTGGCAATGAAACTCTGTTGTATGAAAAGGGGAAGTAAACTCTCCCCTTCCCAGTTAAAATCATCCTCTCTATCTACCAATAACTCATAGGAAAATAGAATAGAATAGAATTCTTTATTGGCCAAGTGTGATTGGACATACACTTGGTATTTGTCTCTGGTGCATAAGCTCTGAATGTACATACAAGCAACAAGTGATCATCATAATCTTAAAATACAATCATCATAAATCATAGCTACAACACTCAGTCATAGGATACTAAATAAAGGCCTTACTGTGTGTGTGTGTTATTTGTATCAGGTTTCAAGATTCACAGTATGATTGCTAACCTCACACTTAAAGTAGTAGAGGCTGGATTTTATGTAATTCCACATCAGTTTATGTTAATGCAAAATCATTTTTTATAGCATCCTACTTCTAAGGCTGCCTAACTGTGACTAGTATTCATTTTAAAATAGCAATGGCACAGAGTCAGAGGATGCCTTCGGGAGCCTGGCACCTTGAGTGATATCCCAGGCCTTTCTCCAAATTCTCATTCACTGCGGGATGTGCTCATTCAAGCTTGGCCCTTTGAACAGGAAACCAAATTCCTTCCTTATATTTTCACACACACTTTTAAAAATAAAGCTCTATTTGTTTTACTTAAGGTAAAGCTAAAAGACATTTTCCACTTGCCACTTACAGCAATTTCAAGACCAATTCAACCATTTTGTGCCCAAATAATAGTAACAAAGAGAGGCTTTATGTCACTTCAATGATTAATGAATGAGACTCCAAAGGTGCTTTAAGTTACTGCTACGGAAATGCCCAAAATTTATTTTGAGTAGTGCTTGACTGCTGATGAATACATGTCCATGTAGCTCTCTTAGCAACAAAATAAGAAGGGTTTGCAGTTGCTTTTTCTGGATATTTTTTTCACTTTCTACTCTAGTCTTGGGATTCCGTGCAGTATTAGCCAACCAAAGCATGTCTACCTTTGGTGCCCAGAGAGGGCCAGTCAGGTACTGTAGGAAACACACAAAAAAAGCTAGCTCAATAAGTTGCAAAATTAGTGAGAAGTTAGTGTTGGTAGTTAGGCAATGGATCTTTAATTTTTTTTAAAGAAAAAATCTCAGAACAAAAGAAATGTGTGTATGCAGTGGTGAAAATGCCACCTTTACTCCAAAGGGAAAATAAAGATTATGAAGGGACAAAATTAGAATATTTTTGAATTTCTTTTGCCAACTTTTTTCTTGGAAAAAAGGACAACGTCTGGTTTGTGGGGGGGGGGGGGTTGGAATGGAAAGCAAGAAAGCAAGACATAAGATAGAACAAACATAAAGAAAGGGTTCCTTTTTTTATAAAACAGGGCAGTCAAATGAGGGTGGGGGATGGGGGAGAAAAGTGCTGCTCCAGGCGTGGAATGTGACACTGGAGCTATTTTTGTTCCTGCTTCCTATGAAATGGCACGAAATAAAGGACAAGGACCAGGCGGTACAGCTTGTTGGTGGAGCAAGACTAAATTTAGGCTCACACTAAAGCAACTGCTCCTTTTCTCATGAGGGTAGAGGAACGGAAGGCCAAAGTTATAGAAGAAGGGCTTGCTTTTAGGGGTATTAGCCATACAATCACTACTCTATTCCTTGAAGTAGATTTTATTTTAAAGTAAAAGACAATACGAACATAAAATATAATTTAAACTGCTATGGGAGTGGGTTTTGAGGGTCTAGGACAACTCGCCACAGCAAACGCATAGGGGCCAACTCACCAGAAGACAATTCACCACAGCCAACTTGCTGAGGGACAAAAATTACATAATATTGAAGAGATGGCGGAAAGAATCATTAAAAAAAGGATGCATAAGGAGGGACAAAATGAAATGTGAATGACAAAAATTAAAATAATGTTTAATTATTTTAAATAAATAAAATTGTTGAATTGTCCCGTGACAAGTTGGCTGTGGTGAGTTGACAATGGCGAATTGGCAACAGTGAGTTTGCTACAGCAAGTTGGCCAGGGCGAGTTGTCCCATTCTGATTTTGGGATGTACTTAAGAATATCTTTAAGTTGATCAGTATGAGAAGCACAGTACAAACTGTACTCTAGATGGTTCATGGCACCTGCAGAATTGTGCTAGTTAATCTCCTACCTCTTTTCTCTCCTGTGAAGGGAATCAGATCATCTCGGTCTTTAGTGTCATTTGCCTGCTTCTCCAAATGTGCCAGAAGAACATCTCTATTAAAAGGGCCTGTGGGTGTTTTCTTGGTCTGATCTTTCTGTCTCATTCCTGCAGGTAATATTGCATTCTATATTTTGGAGAAAGGAGAAAAAACATTCAAGCTCCATGATCATCATCCATCTCCCTACCTTTTTTAATGAAATCCCACTGAACCCCTACATGCTAGCAGTGTCTAGCTATTGAATTGGAGTAGCACTCACAAAATTGTAAAATATGTGAAGAAAAGTTTGTTCAATTGATCACTAAATTAACAATGTTTAAAATACCTATAGAGAACAATAACAATAATAAAAATTAAGGAACCCAAACCAAATAGTATTAAAGACAAGAGAAGAAACCAATCAAATAATCAATCCATGGGTTCAACTAACCTCCCATCCTCCATCCCTGGGAAAGCAGCCAAGGCTTGAGAGCTTCCCAAAACTCCAGCAGAGTCAGGGCCAAACTAATCTCAAGTGTATGGTGATCCAAAGGGTAGGGCTATAATAGACAAGGCACATTTCCTGGATCCTGTCAAGAGAACATTCTCTAATAATCAATGGGACCAAGACCATGCCCCTTCTGCCAAACCTGATGGGCCAGCTGGAGCCCATTGGAAACAGAAAGCCTCTCAGATAAACCAGCATAGAGAGACAGGAAGGTGGCCTTGAAGCAAATATTCAGAAATGGTTAAAAAAAATTTTTGTCCAAGAACAAAAACATTCCTTAAGTCCTGGGAACAAAGATACTATTAAGAAGAAACTGCTAGATGCAGACAACCAGGTTCACATCTGAAAGTTCCAAATTACTGATGTATTGCTCAAGCCTACGCACAGGAAGATTCTCAGACTAATAGTTTGTCCTCTCGTGACTACATAGCAACTTAAAACTGATGCCTCACTTGACTCCTCCTTCTGGCTCTGCCAGTCTCTCTTTCTCTCCTACAGAAACTCAGGCTGGCCCTCCGTGACTGATGACTTTTAGGGAAAGGAGAGAAAAAGCAATCAGACTTGCAAGATTCTGTTATTATAGCCTACCCCAACAAAGAATAATTCTATAGTTCCTGTGGAATTGATTGGTGTGTGGAAATGACCTTGGGAGACGGAAGGAAGAGGTGCAGCCTAAATAGCAGTTTGACAAACGAAATTTGAGTCCAAAGGAGGATAGTGGTGAAAGCATCTCTGAAGGAACTTACCTAGTTATCAGGTAAGTAAAAGTGAGGAATGGAAGAAGCACTCTCAGTCTTGTAAGATTTTGTTAATGTAACCTTATAATAAAGATAGAGGTGGTACTTCTGTCTGAACTACCCTGCAAAGCTAACAACTGTACCTCATGAGGCTGACACCTAGGCCCATGCCATGAAGGTCTTTATAGGAAACCACCAGCGCCTTGAATTTATTCATTTATATAGATGCTCACCTCATTTTTATGTGATTCTTGGTAGTTTACAATACTAGAGCCATTTTGGTGTAGTGGTTAAGGCGTCAGGGTATAACTGGGAAACTGGAAATTCTAGTCCTGCCTTAAGCATGAAGCCAACTGGGTGACCTTGGATCAGTTCCTCTCTCTCTGCCATAGGAAGGAATCAATGACAAATTACTTCTGAAAAACCTTGCCAACAAAACTGCAGGGGCAAGTCCAGGCAGTCACCATGAGTCAACACTGACTTGAAGGCAGACATACAAACAAGAAAGTAGATTAAATAAAATACGTAAAATACACAATATAAAAAATAAAACACATAGCAGTTTGGCATTTTCCAATGAATTATTGGAATTACAGCCAGAGGTATATTTGGAGCCAGTGCAACTTATACACATCCATAATAGCTTGTACCACTATATTATGGATCAATTGCAACTTCCGGATGTTCTTCCAGAAAAATCCCATGTATTAATTTAAATAACGTATGTGGCGCCTTGAAGCCCCATGAAGAACATACTAATCTGCTCAAGAGATGACTAAGCATGAGTGATCATGGACAGTATCAGATGACCCAGGAAGGGGCATAATTGGCACACAACACAAAGTTGTAAATAAGCCTTCCTGGCCTCCATTGCTACCTAATTCTCAAAACAGCAGCTGTGAATTTAGGAAGACTCCTCACTATTTGTGTTTGGGGAAGTACAACTTCTCCCATCCAGAATTAAAGATTGGAAATCATTCAGTTCAGGAGACCTTAAAATCCTCAGTCTTGTTAGGGTTGAGAATAAGCCTATTCTTCCCCCAGAGTCTCCCGACATCAAAAAAGAACTACCACATCACTTGGTTGATCTGGAGATATTTATTTATTTATTTATTTATTTATTTATTTATTTATTTATTTATTTATTTATATTTATTTATTTATTTATTTATTTATTTATTTATTTATTTATTTATTTATTTATTTATTTATTTATTTATTTATTTATTTATTTATTTATTTTATTCAATTTATATCCCACCCTTCTCCAAGTGGACTCAGGGCGGTGCTGAGCATATTGATGGCACCTCACTCTGTGTCATTGAATGACTTCAACAGTGGTTTCATCTAGATGTTAAGGAGAGTGGAGAGATTGGTGAGCCCTGGGGATACCCACACAAAATAAGACATGGGCTGAACCCCTCGCTCCCTCATCAACAGTGACTGCAACTTAGAAAGTGGAAGAAAACCAGTACAAAATTGTACCCCTAATTCCTAACCTTTGGAACCAGTCCAGATGGACATCATGACCAGTGAAAGCCACGAACAGATGGCTTTCAATATCACTAAAATAAGAATAGGTACATTACCCCCATCCCCCTTCCTTCAATGGTCATCCCCAAGGGCACTCAATGTTCTTTTGGTTCCATATATGGGCCTGAAACCTGACTAAAAGGGGAATAGATAACCTGCTTTCTCCAGGACTCTCTGAAGCTGCAGCATTGGGTCTACTGATGATAACTTCAGGAAGAAACAGACCATCATTGTTTAACCTCTCTCGCTTCCCAGACCCAACCACACATCCTTTGAGAAGCCTTGGCTGACCAGGTTCTAATACAGAGATGGCCAAGCTCACAGCACTGACCAGTAGGATTAAATTCAGCCCAGATAATCAAACAAAAATAAACTTCAGTAAATTCCATGGACCTGCATCAAGGTTGGCCCAGCTTGGAATGAATCTGAGTGACTTTATCCATTAGCTGCCTAGCATATTCCTTACAGCGGTCTTATAAATGAGTCTCCAACGACACTTCCCCAGAAGGAATAGGACCACTTGAAACAGGGCCAACAGATGGCTATCTGCAAATGCAATAAGGGCAGAAAAAGAACAATGCTTTACCATACTTCCTGCCATGTGGTAGTCCTTAATACTGTATTGGCTCTAACTCATGCTGAATTAGATTCACCTCTCTTTGTTCTACAATAATGTTCTACTGTGGCATGGGCATGGCTGGCATGTGGAGTATGGGAAGGCATGCAAGTGGCTGCATTAGTGCAGCTCGGCAGAGGGATGCTGCAGCTTGGTGCGAGTATAGAGTGAGGGTGAAGCGGAATGCTCCAGATGTCTGCCTGCACTATGGAAAATGAGATTCCCCAAGATCTTGTATTCCATAGCAGGAGTCTTCAGGAGAAAAAGGAGAAAAAGCAATCAGAGTGGGAGCAACTTACAGGAGTGACTTGCGACCTTCCCTGTCAGTTTTGCTTATGCCAGCAGGTAGGGTCACAAATTGCAATCACATGACCTCAGGATGCTGCAACCATCATAAGCGTCAGTTGATTTCTAAATACCTGGATGGTTATCACACCATCCAGGTGGGTGCTGGGGTAGCTGGAAGTCCAAGGACTGATCATAAGCACCACTCTCTTCAGTGCATGGTTGCTGAATGAGTGGTTGTTAACCAAGGACTATCTGTAGTATACACATCATTACTATCTGTATTTCTTTGATTTATTATTTGCTTCCACTATCTGCTGCTCAAAACTGGAAGTTATATTTAATCATTATTAAAAGTCACTACAAAACCCCCAAATGCTGCTTTTAAAAAAACTATTCTTTAAAGCACTTACATCTGGATCGAGTTCCAGTAGCTCATCTTCTAGCATCTTAATTTCGTCTTCTGTCAGTGCTCCAAGGATCTGATCTTCATCTAGATCTCGGTATTTCTCTAAACCTTGTCTATATGACATTTTGGAGAATTGGCGTTTTTGATGTTTTCTGGTTTTTAAGTCTCTTCTTCTTCCCAAAATATAGGACCTGGATGATTAAAAAATTAAAAATTATTAAAACTTATGTTGCATGATGGTAGAATTATCATAATATAGAAATCAGGTTGATCATAACCACTAGATGGCAGCATAGATATAGAGAAAACCAGAATCCAATACAAAAAAAAAGAAAAGAACCAATGAGGAATCAGCATTCCAAAAAGTACTGATGAGGATTGGTCATAAAGAACCAATCAGAGACCCAAGCTCACTGACCTGCACCAATTGGACACCTGCTTCAGTGGTGGGTTCTAACCGGTGTTACCACTGCTTTGCTTCGCGCACGCACTTTGCACACAATTGAAATTCCGCTGTAGATCTCATGTATTTTTTACCTGATACTATATTGTACAGGAAGTTCTGCAACACATTTTTGGCAATTATGACTAAAGATGGGCTTGAAGGGTTTGCCCAACCCAAAAAAAGAAGAAAGAAATTGAAGAGCCCAGGAGAGAACAAGGACAAAAAGACAAAACCAGCAAACTCCTACAGATACCGTGCTTATACAAACAAACCGAAGAAGAACAAAACTGCCTGTCCCATCTAATCAAATACAGCCAAATATTTCAAGTAGAACATATGAGAACTGTAATTAGAAAGATTTAAGATTATAAATCTTAAATTGTTTAATCTTTATTAATAATCAAGTGGGGACCGGCTGATGTGCCCTTCTTTGCTGGCAGTATTCAAGTGGTGGAAAGCTAACCATCAGTCAGGGATGCTATGGTTGCAAGACTCCTGCACTGAAAAGGGAATTTATTTGTTTATATTTCATATTACTTTATCTACCCATCTCCCTTAGAGAGGGGCTCTTGGTGATGGAATTGGACTATACAGGTAGTCCTCAACTTATGACCACAATTGAGCCCAGAATTTACGTTGCTGAGAAATTTGTTAAGTGCGTTTCGCCCCATTTTACAACTTTTCTTGCCATATTTATTTAGTGAATCACTGCAGTAACACGGTTGTTAAGTGAATCTGGCTTCCCCATTGACTTTGCTTGTCAGAAGTTTGCAAAAGATGATCACATGACTTCAGGATACTGCAGCCGTCATAAATATGAGTCAGTTGTCAAGCATCCAAGTGTAAATCATGTGACCGTGGGAATGCTACAATGGTCATAAGTGTGCAAAATGTTCATAAGTCACTTTTTTCAGTGCCGTTGTAACTTTGAACAGTCACTAAATGAACTCTTGTAAATCAAGGACTATCTGTATCAGTTTCCTCAATCTCAATATTCCCCAGCCAACTGTGGAGTTGGAGTCAACACATCTTAAACTTGATTAGTGTTCTCCAATGATGTAATTATTAAAAATATTCCTCTTCCTCTTCTGCCCAGAGAATACCTCCTTCAAATGGTAGTTGAAATACAATACGATGTGTATCATCCTAAATTCACAAAAGATTTAGAGTTCTCCTGCCTTTATTTTAAGGCCCAAGCTGTATCCCATGGATAAGTTATTACCTTAAAAAAGAAAACCTATTCCTGTGTTGTTAACAGCAGCCTGATACATAACACTTCAATAGATGAGTATTTCCCTAGCTCTTACTTACAGGCTTACTTATAACAATATGTTTAGTCATGTATACTGAACATTTGCAAGAAGCATCATTTTATTCTGACCCTATATTTGAGCGACAATCTAATCTATTGTAAAAAAAAAAATGCTACTTTTCACCAATGAAGCCGGAGCTAAAAAAACATAACAGGGAACCAAAGTTGCTGTAAATGTGCAAGAACAGGTCTTATAAAGCTGATTACTTAAGCTTGCCAGCAGGTTTCCTCATGCAACATTCCGTCTTGCAGCATGGCAACCCACCCACAAGTCACATTTTATGACTCAGTTTCTTGGATTGTCAGTTACTGTATTATGTAAAATAGAACAGGGCAAAGAGGAAAGCTACCTTTAATTTTGCCAAAAACAACATTATAGTCCTGGGTAAAGAATGAAAAGGAATGCCTTTCATCAAACAATACTTTCTCTTGCTCATTTATAACATGGATATGCACAATCATTATCTTATTCTTCAAAGCAGACTCAATAAGGAAAGTCAAGATAACATTTGGAGGTCCAAATGTGTTCTCCACCCGGGTAACTCACAGGGCGTAATTCCTTAACATTTTTAGCCCTAATTTTAGTTGAAAGCAGCTGATAAGAAACTGTCACTGAAACTTTGTGTACTATGTATTGTTGTGGCCCGTATGTGGCCTGTGCAGCTAGTAGCTGATTCAAACAGTGAGGAGGCTGGTGTGGTGCTGCGCCAGCAGCCTGTGCAGCTGGCACTCGAGTTGGACAATGAGGAGGCTGGAGAAGATGTGGTGCCAGAGGCAGGGATTCAGCCAGGGCCTTCAGAACCTCCAGAAGCTCCCTTAAGTGAAGAGGACGATGAGGAGGAGCCTCTTCTCAATGCACGGGCGCACAGAGCTGCCAAAAGGCAGTGGCTCCTCAGGAGGAGGTCTCCTCGAGAGTAAGGCTTGGGGCTAATTGGCCACTCCCTTAGCCTATTTAAGGAGGAATGCTGACTGAAGCAATTTGCAGGGAACAACTTCGTTCACATACCTTCATGTCTTGTCTTGTTTATCTTATCAGCTTCCTGCAAATTGCTTCTGGGCATTCTGCCAACCACAGTAAGCTTTCAGTTATTATTCTTTGAATTCTTGGCAGCTGTTAATGCAGTTAATTAACAGCCGTTGTTGTAAAAGTCTGATTTATTTAGTAAACCAAGGTTTGAATGGTCTTTGTGTGTGCTGCGTTTTTTGGGGTCCGTAGCTGGGGTAGAACAATTATCTGGGATATACCAGAAGTTCTGAGTTTGTTTTTCAAAGTATTCATAGTTGCTATTATTGATTTCTGTAGTTATAATTCATATCCTGCCTTTCCTCCAAACAGCTCAATATGGTATATAACAGTGTTTTTCAAATTTGGGGAGACCTCTATATGCAGAATTCCCCCGTCAGCAACAGGTTACTTATACCTTCAAATCCCACCCACCCACATTCTGACATACAGGTAATCCTCGACTTACAACTATTCATTTAGTGATCGTTCAAATTTACAAAGGCACCAAAAAGAGTGACTTATGACCATTTTTCACACTTAACGACCGTTGCAGCATCCTCACAATCATGTGATCAAAATTTGAGTGCTTGGCAACTGGGTCATATTTATGATAGTTGCAATATCTTGGGGTCATGTGATCCCATTTTGTGACTTTCTGAACAGCAAAGTCAGTGGGAAAGCCACTTAACAATCATGTTACTAAACATCCGTAGTGATTCATTTAACAATTTTGACAAGGCTGTAAAATGGGGCAAAACTCACTTAACACCTGTCTCACTTAGCAATAGAAATTTTGGGCTCAATTGTCTTATGAGTCAAGGACTAACTGCACATAAATTATGGTAAAATGAAATGACTAGCCTAAAGTAATCAAGTCAGTGTCCATTCTATATGTGGGTAAAATATACAGGTAGTCCTCGACTTACAACAGTTAACTTAGGTCACTTAGGTCGTTCGAAGTTACAATGGCACTGACAAGTGATTTATGACTGTTTTTCACACTTATGACCATTGCAGCATCCTCATTGGTCAGATTATCAAAATTCAGATGCTTGGCAATCCTTTTAAACAGCAGGTGCCCTGAACTTTACAAGCAAAGCTTTCTCTCCTCCTCCCTCCTCCACCATTACTTAACTCTTTTTTTTGGGTGGGGGGGAAGGACATTTCACCAGTTTTATTTCCAGGCTCCAAAGTCTGACCATGGAGGCAACAACTTAACAGCCACTTTTCCAGGCTCAGCCACCTCCATGGCAGAGGTGAAATCCTGCAAGTTCTGACATGTTCTGGAGAACCGGTAGCCGAAAGTTTGAGTAGTTTGGAGAGCCGGCAAATACCACCTCTGGCTGGCCCCAGAGTGGGGTGGGAATGGAGATTTTGCAATATCCTTCCCCCCGGAGTGGGGAGGGAATGGAGATTTTACAGTATCCTTCCCCTGGAGTGGGGAGGGAATGGAGATTTTACAGTATCCTTCTCCTGCCATGCCCACCAAGCCACGCCCACAGAACCGATAGGGAAAAATTTTAGATTTCACCCCTGCTCCATGGGCGCCCACCCTCTCCGCTAGGGCTACGAGGCGACTGCTTCCATTTTGCCCCGGGGCGACCTGTGAGAATAGAAACTTGCCGCTATGTCAGGGGGAACTAGAAACTCCCAAAGGTTCTCCTTTTTGCCATGCCCCCCCCAGCTCTGTCCTTCCCAGTTCCACCCCAGCAAAAAAAAAAAAAAAAAAAACTCACAAACCCAAACAGCAGCGAGAGCAGAAGCAGCGGCTATTTATAGGCGCCGCGCCTACGCCGGTCCCCTTTTGGTGGCAGAGGAACGCTTTGGCCACATATGGCTTGAGCGGCTCACGCCGGGGCTCCTTGAGAGACTGAGAAGTGGGGTCCCAATTCAAGGGGCACCAAAGCTTGGGTACCCTCAACCCTGCCCGCTCGACCGGTTATATATCTATACCTGTTGCGGCTGCAGGCGATGGGCTTTGTGGAAGAGGGCGCACGCCGCCGGTTGCGAGACGCGTCCCCTGTAGAGGAGCTCTTAACGTTACGCAGAAAGCAGACGGGGGGAATTCCCTCCCCCTCCCAGCGCTACTGTCACTCATAGGGCTGAGGACGACGAACTGAAGGCCGACCCCCCCTCCCGCCCGCCCGCCCCCAAGCTTCGGCTGGAGCTGCGCTGGAGTCTTGGCTGAGGGGGCTCTTCATTGCCGTCGCTCTAAGCGTCCGTGCGGGCGTGCGGAGGAGAGGCGGCAGCCAAGAGTCGCTGTGATTAGAAGAGCGGTTCCAGAACGGGCGGCCAAAATATACTGTGCCAAGCGGCCCCTGCGTGGCCGTAAATAGACTGGGGTCCTGGCCGACCAGGAATGAAATAACTTTAGCGTATTTCGTCCAGCGCCGCTCATTTAAAAACATGCGCTTCCCATCGGCGCATTATGTGCCCAGATCCTAGGTTCTCAAGATTGTAATCTGTGCAAGCTGTTGACAGTAAAAGGGCGGGCATTTTAAAAAGTGCTAGGATTCCTTAGCTGTTCGTGGGCTTTTTGAAATAAAATCAATTATTCATGGTGCTTAAGCCACATTATTTTGCATACTTTTCTCTACTGGGAGTAAAAATACGGCTTTCTTTTTCAACTGGGGCCTTCCTCCACTGACATATAAATATGTGGAACTTTTTTCCCCTTGTCATGTCTCCACAACGCCTTAATTTGAACCAGATTAGTTTAAATTGTGCATAGTGAACAGTGGTGAAGTATTTTTTTTCCTTATTCTGAGACCAACTAAATGTAACCTTGAAGTGTGCAAAATCTGTTAGGCTTTATCAACCGTTATCTTGCAGCAGGTTAGAAGCAGCATATTTAATGTTATAATTTTCTACTTAAGTCATGCAAAAGTTGGTCAGCAGTGGGGAATGGCATGTTATGGTGCTGCACATCTATTGTAAAGACTGCCCAAGTGACAGTTTTATGTTCAATGGTTGGATGATACTAGAAAGCACCATAAATCATTAGTGAGGAAATTAAGATTGCCTAAGATTAAATTTTAATATAGTTTCTACAGCTGTGTGTGCCTTTGAATCATTTTTTAAAAAATTCCTGCTGACTGCTCAGGAAAGTCCTGCCATTTGACTGCTTCCTAGGCTTGTGAGAGATGGACTGGCCCAAGGTCACCCAGCTCGCTTTGGGCCAAGGTAAGACTAGAACTCACAGTCTCCTGATTTGTAGCCTGATGCCTTAATTGCTGTATCAGACTGACTGGACTTGCCTTGATACTTTGAAGCAAAATTCCATCATACAGTAATCTAACCTCAGATACTCACCCAATGATTTTAATAAGAGCCTTGTAAAAAGAAAAGTATCTCCCTATTAGGAACCGTCTCAAAACAGTGTTTGAGCATTACTTGAAAGCTAATGTCATCCTACCCTTGTGTTAACATACTCCAAAACAGGATGAATTTTCACCTTAAAAAAAGGATCTCACAGGTTTGTGTGCTTTACAGTCTCATAATTGTAGAACATTATTTTAAAAAGATTTTGGAATTGCAATGAAAGGATAATACAAAAATATTAAAAATAAATATGCACCTGTACCTAGAATGGGCTAGTACTGGCTAGCATGGAGGTTTCAGTAGCCCAGTATACAAACCCAATAATAGTTGCAAGAACTTCATTTTGTTTGATGGGTTAAAGGCACAAATTGTTTAAAAAAAACATGTTAAAAGGGTTTATATATATATCCCATTGGATCTCAAAGCAAGGGCTCATGTTCAATTTAGCAAATGAATTCTGTTCCTAGCCCTATTGAACTCTTCGTATGATGCAGTTATGATACAGGATTCAGCTTTAATTAGCATATGAGTACTAACAGATATTACAGAAATCAGTTTGTCATGCAGAAACCTGTGTGTGTGTATTGTATGGGTAAATGGTATTAAGAATAGAACTATCACATGCAACAGTAATGAAAGTTATAGATATATATACTATACATGCTGCTATGCACACACTTATATACATACAAATGCTTTTGGTCTGCATTTAAATAATATATAGTGCAAGAAAACATGATGCATTGACATGCCCATAATTAGATTAGCAGTCAAGTATAGTTGTGGCATGCCTAGGTTTAGTGATAAATTCAAGATACACCTGTAGGAAAATCTACAAACAGAAGATACAATGGATTATGATTAATAATCAATGCAATCTAACCAAATTGCATGAGCTAAATAAAAGTTTAACTTATTTAAAGGTTGGGAAATGTCTATTTCTAACTAGCAGGCCGACTTCAAACAATTTCTAATTTGAAGCAAAAAGAAAGTGTTCTAAGAAGATAGATAGATAGATAGACAGACAGACAGACAGACACATATACTGAACAGTTAAAAAATCATTCAGAAGCAAACTGATTTAAGTGAGTTCTTTTAATATTTATATTGTTTTATATTTTGCTAAAGTTATTAGTATTTTAAAGTTTTAAATCACCTTTGCAACCTCCATTACAATTGATTCATAATGTCATGAATCCATATATCTTTCTCTGATTGTGATGTGTCCACCAAATATACAATTGCTTTGCGATCCCATAGATTAGTCCCTTCAATAATTTTTTCCACCTGGGCCACTAGAGGTTTCTGCTCCACATGGTTTCGGAAGACTATTGAAGCTTCCTCTGACCACTGCTGCCATTCTATTCCTAGGGGAAAGCAGCAAAAAAGAAAATTAAACAAAATCATAAAGCATCACAGTAAGTTTTAAAAATATTTTAACCTGTATGCTCATTAAATGATTTTGAAGTTCTTAATTTGGAGCATGAAGGAAAATACATCCTTGCCAGAAAACTGGCTTTCCTGCATAATACTATAACTTTTATTCTGACTTGTGTGCAATTATGGTTAATTGATTTGGTCAAGAAACTGGAGAAATAATATTAATCAATAATGAGATACTGTACTATATATTTTAGATCAGTATTATAATGCAATATTAAGATGCCCATTGTTAACTATGTAAAGTACTTAAGAACAGCAATATATCTTGTGAGGGAGGGTCTATGTACATATGTGTGTGTATGCACGCATGTATGTGTGTGCATGAGTCAGAATGATGAACCTTATGAGAGTCATAATGTCACATACACATGAAAAGGGTTGAGCTTGCAAGGTGTTACTGCAATGTTGCTTTTGTCATTTCAATGAAAGCAAGCTCTGGCAGACTCCACTGAAAATTATTTTCAGGAAAATGGAAAAATGGTTTAGAACATTGTTTATAGGAGCAGGACACAATGATCAAGATTATTATTTTTTTTGGCAAATGGTCAGATCATGAAATTCATTGGCCTCAAATGTGTATGTCTGTCTGTCTTGTTCAATGTTCTCACTTTTGCGGTCACTATTTTAATATATCAGAACAACATACCTGCAAGTTGGGCTGTTATGGCCTGAAATGGCAGCTCTCTAAACATATCCACAAGAGGTCTTATATTTTGGATGCCAATCAGCTCATGTTTACCATAGTCCAGCTCATACACTGTCACCAGTCCATTTGCCAACAATCCTTTTATTAACACTCTGTGCCATCTAAGAAACAAACAAGCAAAAAAAAAAAAAGAGGATAGGACTCTACTCACCTAAAATGGAATAAATAGATTCATAGAAAGTAAGGGGTAGACTTGATGCCTCTGAAAATACAATTCTTAGGTATTAAAGTATCAAAAACTCCTCTGTAACTCCCCAACTCCGAGCTGCTGACCTGGACCATTTGGCAAAAAAGAAAAAAGAAAAAAACCTTGCTCCCCTTTTCTTACTTAAGAGTGAAAGATAAAAGATCACTTATAAAAAAACAAAAGCAAATCATCATCATCTCCCATTTCAGGAATGTCTATTCTTTATGGGTATCTCAAACTATTTGCACAAAAGATACCCAGCTCTTTGTGTATATATATTTATTCCCCTTTCTTTCCTAAAAAATTTATGGAATCTTAAAAAAACAAGAAACCAGAAGGCTTAATAAAGCACAAAGCACACAGGAAGAAAACTACTGTAATGTCAGAAGATTATATCTAATCTTGTGAATTAAATTGTATCTCCAATTTAAGGGAAATATATTTGATACTACAGTAAATATTTCTTAGCAATCAGCAGGGGAAAAGAGATTGTCTCCCATTTGGAAGATGCTGAAAAAGTATTGGAATAGATAATCTTTGATTTCAAATTTCTCTAAACTTTGAGAACATGAAAACTGAATCTAGTTATGTCAAATTTCAGTCCCACTGAAATAAGTAGATTGGAGACTAAATTAGCCTCATTTCAAACTGTTTTGACAGAATACAATTCCCAAATACAGGAAGGGGTACTTATAAAAGTTGCTTACTTGTTTTTCACTTTAGCTGCATAGATTTTGTTTTTTTCAACAGCAACAGCTCCATCTTCTGCTGTGTTATAATACAGAAGCATCTCTTCCATCAGCATTTCTAACTTGTGCATCTCTTGCCAGGACTGGAGGATAAAGTAACCCGGGTGGCATGCCAGCGCAACAAAAACATCCATCTGTTCCTGGGATTGGACAAGTGGCAGCATTGGTGGCATTTTCGCGGTGATTTCCATCTTGCGGGATTCCAGAATATGAGGAACTGTATCTGTGGAGCTCTGCTTGGGCCCTAAACTTGACGGCATTGGTGAATCTGTTTCCCTTCTTCCAGGGAGATTACTGAGAGAGACACTCAGAAAAACATCCTTCTGATGCTTCCACAAGTCAGCACTGGTGATCTGCCTATTTATACTGCGATCTGGGTCTGGAAAATTATTTGGTGTAAACAGATAGATGTGCGCAATTTGGTTATCCAGTTTAACCACCTTATTGAGAGAGAGAGAATATTGTAATTATGAAAAATTATGTCTTGATCAGAACAATAACATAGAGAGCTTTAATTCAGAAAACTTTGTACCAGCATTATGTTAACAAGACAAGTGATTAAGATAATACCAAGCAAACATATAAACCAAGTCACTAATTCAAGAAGGACTAGGGGTGATATGATAGCTGTGTTCCAATATCTAAGGGGCTGCCACAA